AAATTTGCGTCCACACTAATCGTTTTCTTATCGTTTTTGCCCGTCCACACTACTACGCGTTATGTTTCAAAAACGCTGTTGTACCCAAAGTGCGCATGACCAATAAACTTCGCGCATGAGCATTTCATTTTAACGAATCCGCGAAAGGTGAGAATAATTGGCGCCATTCTTAAATTCTCGTTGTTGTGGCTTACAATTCTTCAATATCTACATTTTTAAGTATGCCAAGGACAGGTGAAAATCTGTCGAAATCTAAAAAGGGTTGTTTTGCGTGGACTGATGATGAAGTCGAGCTACTTCTAAAAGTAACAAATGATTACAAAGTGCAGAAAAGCACCTAGAGTATAGACTGGGAGTCGGTGCAGTCGAAGTATGGCGATATCTTGGATATGTTTCAAGCAGAGTATCCTAACCAGGAAAATGCCACTGCTTTATTCAAAGAATATCCTCATAAACCAGAGGATATAACGAAAGCAACACTTTCAACCAAATTAAAAGCCATTCGGAAAAAATTTCGACAAGCTGTTCACTCGGGAAGGAAGAGTGGACATGGCCGCGTTGTCCTGCTGTATTTCGAGCTCTGTGAACAAATATGGGGCGGCTCTCCAGCGACAAACACGATTAGATCTGGCTTAGAAACAAGCACATTAATCGATGATGTTGATGTTGATGTTAATGTTGATAGTGTTCCAAATACCCCTGCATCAATAGAGATAAATGATGATGAAAGCAGAAGCCCAGAAGATGAAGACGAATCATATGATTCTACAACTTCGAGTAGCAGTACCATTCAGCATCGGCGTGAATTATTAAATTCAAAACTGAAGGGCTATAGACAGGAAAAGTTGAAGAGAAAACTTCCTGTAGATAGCCAGATGCTGAGTATTGCCCAGGAAGAACTTGAAATTAAAAAAAAATTGATCACAAGAATGGAAGAGATTGACCAAGAAAACTCAACTCAGATGAGAAGGATGATGACCAACATGGAAAAACTAACTGAGTCCATAGCAGATGGTTTTACTATGCTGAAGCAGGTATGCTAAGCCCACCACAGCTGCTATATTCACCACAGCCACCACAACCACCCATGCAACCTCACTACCCTCCCCGCCAAACATTTACTGAGTTGACACCGCTTCGATATTCTGGGAACAATGGAAACTTCACTTTTACACTTTTAGAGAGACGTTTTATCTTCGATTTTCTCGAAGCTGGGAAAGTCAAAAGCTTTAAAATAGCTTGTTTTCTTCTTGTAGAATCTAGGTGACGTCTTAGCAGGAATAAATGTGCCTTCAAGAGCACCAAAAGACTAGAAATCATAACAATCAGAAAAGAAGCCATAACAAAACACCTGTCCGCCATTTTAAATATTCGCAGTCGAATTACGTCACTATATCACTTACCATCGTTTTTACTGTCCACACTAGGAAACACCGTTTTCACAAAGCATCGTTTTCAAATTGCTCCACTCTGGAAAGCGTATTTGAATAGCTCCGTTTTCGGTGATCGTTTTCGGCGTTGTAGTGTGGACGATAGCCGTATCCGGAGCAAAACAGCTCCGTCTTCGTTTGAATACGGATTAGTGTGGACGGGACCTCAAATACGCTTTCCAGAGTGGAGCAATTTGAAAATGATGCTTTGTGAAAACGGTATTTCCTAGTGTGGACAGTAAAAACGATGGTAAGTGATATAGTGACGTAATTTGACCGCGAATATTTAAAATGGTGGACAGGTGCTTTGTTATGGCTTCTTTTCTGATTGTTAGGATTTCTAGTCTTTTGGTGCTCTTGAAGGCACATTTATTCCTGCTAAGACGTCACCTAGATTCTACAAGAAGAAAACAAGCTATTTTAAAGCTTTTGACTTTCCCAGCTTCGAGAAAATCGAAGATAAAACGTCTCTCTCTCGAGGGTTTTGCCTAAACCTCGAAGGTTTTGGACAAGACCTGGACGAAGTTCAGTGTGGTGGGACAAATTTGTCGCCAGAATTGTCGCGGAAGAAGAGTGGAGGGAAAATTTCCGAATGAGTAGGAACTCTCCGTACGCTCTAGCTTTCAAATTGAGGCCGTAAATCGAAGGAAAAGAAACAAGAATGCGGTCGCCGATCGACGTGGTAAAAAAAGTTGCAATAACTTTGTACTATTTAAGTGATGAAGGTCGTTTGCGAAAGACTGCAAATGCCTTTGGTGTTTCACGGCAGTCTGTCTCCAAAGTAGTTCGACAAGTTTGCAAAGCGATTGCCATTCACATTGGACCTGATTACATTCATTTGCCAACTTCAGAAGAGGATGTAAAAGACTTAGTTGCAAAATTTCATGTAGCTCATGGCTTTCCTCAGTGCTTAGGAGCAATTGACGGCACCCACGTCGAAATTAAGCAGCCAAAGGCAAATAGCACAGAATATATAAACAGAAAAGGACGCTAAAGTCTCAACGTTCAGGCTTCTTGTAACTATGATTATCGTTTTATTGATGTTGTCATTAAGTGGCCAGGCAGTGTCCATGATGCTAGGGTGTTCCAAAATTCCCAAATGAACCAAGTCTTGAGAGATGGCACCATACCACAATGCAGGCGGATAGTAGTTCCTGATGAGGACCCTATTCCGGTATTCCTTATGGGAGACCCTGCTTACCCGTTGATGCCCTACCTGATGAAGGAATATTCTAATGGTGGAACTACATTCCAGGAGCAGTACTTCGGGATGACTCTGTGTCAGTCCAGGATGGTCATCGAGTGTGCGTTTGGAAGATTAAAGGCAAGGTTTGGGTGTCTTAAGAGGGCCATGAACATAAATTTGAATGATCTCCCATATGTAATATATGCATGTTTTGTTCTTCACAATTTTTGTGAGATGAGAAAAGAAAAAATTGGAGAGAACAGAGTTCTGGCATTCATTGCTTTTGATAAACATTTCCAGCCATTATCAAATACAAATAATTTTATAACAGACAGCAATGAGGCAGAAGGAAAAAGAGTCAGGAGAGTTTTAACTAAATATTTTGATCCATGATTATATTACTATTACATAGTAACCTACAATATATATGATTATTAGAAATTTGTGTTCAACACTCTCCTCACTTTAGATAATTTTTCAGGATATGTATATCTGGTAGTTTTCTTGGCATTTATTAAATGCAGGACCCAAGCAGTAAACAATTAAGAATTGTAGTTAAGGCAGAAAACATAGCACTTCACAAGCTGATAAGTGATATGCCAGTTTCATAGCCAATGGTGCTTCATGCTAAAAACTGTTTTGCAGTGCATGCATCTTAAAATGCTTGCAAGGAACACCATTTTCTGATTTGAGAAAAGTGGTCTCCAATAAGGTGCCACATTAAAAAGGAAGTTGACTATCTTTGGAATATAGAGACTGTGTAAAAGTGAAGTGTCCAGAATATCGAAGCGGTGTCAACTCAGTAAATGTTTGGCGGGGAGGGTAGTGAGGTTGCATGGGTGGTTGTGGTGGCTGTGGTGAATATAGCAGCTGTGGTGGGCTTAGCATACCTGCTTCAGCATAGTAAAACCATCTGCTATGGACTCAGTTAGTTTTTCCATGTTGGTCATCATCCTTCTCATCTGAGTTGAGTTTTCTTGGTCAATCTCTTCCATTCTTGTGATCAATTTTTTTTTAATTTCAAGTTCTTCCTGGGCAATACTCAGCATCTGGCTATCTACAGGAAGTTTTCTCTTCAACTTTTCCTGTCTATAGCCCTTCAGTTTTGAATTTAATAATTCACGCCGATGCTGAATGGTACTGCTGCTCGAAGTTGTAGAATCATATGATTCGTCTTCATCTTCTGGGCTTCTGCTTTCATCATCATTTATCTCTATTGATGCAGGGGTATTTGGAACACTATCAACATTAACATCAACATCATCGATTAATGTGCTTGTTTCTAAGCCAGATCTAATCGTGTTTGTCGCTGGAGAGCCGCCCCATATTTGTTCACAGAGCTCGAAATACAGCAGGACAACGCGGCCATGTCCACTCTTCCTTCCCGAGTGAACAGCTTGTCGAAATTTTTTCCGAATGGCTTTTAATTTGGTTGAAAGTGTTGCTTTCGTTATATCCTCTGGTTTATGAGGATATTCTTTGAATAAAGCAGTGGCATTTTCCTGGTTAGGATACTCTGCTTGAAACATATCCAAGATATCGCCATACTTCGACTGCACCGACTCCCAGTCTATACTCTAGGTGCTTTTCTGCACTTTGTAATCATTTGTTACTTTTAGAAGTAGCTCGACTTCATCATCAGTCCACGTAAAACAACCCTTTTAGATTTCGACAGATTTTCACCTGTCCTTGGCATACTTAAAAATGTAGATATTGAAGAATTGTAAGCCACAACAACGAGAATTTAAGAATGGCGCCAATTATTCTCGCCTTTCGCGGATTCGTTAAAATGAAATGCTCATGCGCGAAGTTTATTTGGTCATGCGCACTTTGGGTACAACAGCGTTTTTGAAACATAACGCGTAGTAGTGTGGACGGGCAAAAACGATAAGAAAACGATTAGTGTGGACGCAAATTTTTCTAAAAACGGAGCAAAAGAGCTCCGTTCTCGTTTGAATACGGATTAGTGTAGACGGGGCCTTAGTTTACAAAACGCTCCCCACTAATTCGTCTTATTTCCTTATGATTGGTGTAATTTATGTATCATATTACTTTTACATAAGCCTTGTATTATTTATTATTTCACTCACACTGAAGATGGCATCATAAGATGTCGAAACATGTCAATTTTAAAAAAATTTGTCGTTTTTATTAAATGCGCGATAATATTATGGTTGAAAACTGCAAATGGTTCTCTTTACTTTTCAAAATCCATAAGTACAAACAAACACGTGCAGTTGTGTAAAATTTGAATTTAGTTAGCTATATAGGAAACGAGAACAAAATACATTGTGATCATTGATTAATGTCATGTGATAGACGATACTGATGTAAACGCGTATCTGATTCTTGCAGTTAAAGCATGATTTCACCACAAAATTTACCTGATCAGCACGCTGTTGTCGTTTTGGCTTTTTCACAAAAATTGAAGGTACAAAGCTCTTTACTTTGTTCTACAATACAAACGATGTAAAAACTCAACTAATGTAAGCACGTTTTTTAATGCCACCTAATGTATTGACACAAATAAAATTTGTACTTTGAGAATAATGTTAAAGTGGTTATATCACGAATTTTAGCCCCCCCTTTTTTATGAGCTTAATTGAAAATTTGGATTATTTGAAGAACTATGACATGTCGCTGGACTTAAACAGATAAATATAAGTTGCTTAATTTTGCCTCCAAAGTCGGGTACTATTTGCGAATTTTTTACGACGCCATATTGAACTTGTGACGTAGATAGTTGAACACGTCTTTTTCCGTCAATATAATATTATATTATAGAAGGTGATTTTGTTGTCGTTTTTCTTGTCTTAAAAACAAATAATGACAGTATTTTCAATAAAATATTAAAAAACAAGTTGTCCGGAAAGTATGGCCTCAAATCAGTGCTCAGATAATTCGAATTCGATGTCTGAATGCGTATCTGATTCGAGCTCGGAATCCGTGGGTTATGTCGAGCATTTAAAAGACTTCGCATATGACGATGAACCGCTCGCAGGAGATGGTGATGAAGTGCATACTCCAGATGATCCCGATGGAATTCTCCCTGCGACATTAGAACAACGAAGTGATGGCGTAATTCCACTCGGTGAATGGTAAGTTGTTGTTTTCTCCTGTTTGTAATATACATAAAGTTACTTTATAAACCACAATGCTCCCACGTTTCAGGTGTAATTGTCAATGCTGTCATACCGATTTGTTAGAAGGCGCATTAGAGTACAGATGCTGTAAGGAAATAGGTCCAGCTTTGTAGAAAATGACATTCGATGGCAGCATTGAGAAAATATCATGCATAACACAGCATGGCAAATTTGGGCCTTTAGTTCATGAGGCTGTCCTTGAAAACGTCGGGCCACTATTGAGAGATAGGAATGGACGTGCTTATCGCCGCCAAGCATCACAATCATAAAATATGTAGGATTGTAAATTGTATGAGAAACAATGTTATCATCAACATTGTTTCATCAAAAATAATTAGTCCAGCCTTTTTATTTACTTCAGGTACTTGAGAGCTGTGGCATACAGATGGTTGATGCGATGGTTTTGTGGGTCTATGGGATGGGATCCACTTTGCAATCCCTTTGTGCCTGTCACTGATGAAAACATCCATGGTAAGCCCAGATTTCTCAAGAAACTGAAAAGATCTTTTTGCTCCCTCCAGTTCCATGGCATTACTGCTACCAACTTTATTGGCCTGTTTAAAAATCAAAATGCTTCCATCATTGAAAGTAAAAACACTACAAACAATGATTTTCATCATTCGATAATACCTGAAGCAATTCAAAATGAACCAGCTTTGATGTTGTGTTGCTCCAAATTGTGTAGACTCCATATTTCGCACTGTGCCCGATAGAATCAAAGCGTCCATCTCCTGACCATGTCTGGAAATCCGCATCACTTTTTTTCACATCTTCAATTAACTTTAACTGACAGCTTTCCCAATGCTTCAGAATAGCTGGAAACAAGAAGGTGCGTTGATGCACATGATAATTGGACACACTATTTGCTGAGAGATTCATGTGCTTGAACATCAGCATGGCTTGACTTATACTGACACCAGACATCAATATACCAAAACTAGTCATAACGTTTCCAGCTGGATATCTTCCCAAAACCATTGGTTGGCTTCTCCACATAAAGTTCTTTTCAACTCATTTACCACAATTTTGCTCTACAATGGCCATCGAACCGATGTTTTTAATGTGTACTTTTGGATTTTCAGCCTTGCAGTTAAAGCAAAATTTTTCAAACAACTCAACCAATGAGATGTAAAATACCATGAACATAGGTTGTTCATGCAAGCTTGCTCCTTCATGAATTCTGTAACACGATTAAGAAAATTCATTATTATGAAATACAACAGAGATCTAATTCTTTATAAGATAAAATACCTGACTGTATTACTTGTGGTATCTTCATCTAAATCTTCACTCTGACTAGACTCTTCGAAGGAGGAGTAGTCCATGTATGATTCTTCTTCGAAAAGCTCTTCAGCACTCCCCTGCATTTCATCGTCTATATCAATGCTGGTAACCACGGATGTATTACGATTTTCCCTGATTTCGCTTCGATATTCATTTTGCAACTTCTGGGCCTTTTTCTTCAAAGATGCTTTTGTCTTTTTATACCAGCTTAAAGTCTTTTGTAAAGATGTAAGTTTTTTCTTAAGACGATGGCACGATTTACATGGAGACTCGGATTCACAAATATCTTCACCAACTGCATGTAGTTCTTCTTCAAATGGCGAATCGTTTGCTTCCCCAGTGCATACTTCAACATGCTCAGCTCCATCACTAGTAGAAGGTACTTCCTCATCGAGAGAACATGTTTCCTTCAGCGATGGCTTATGGAGGGTATGTCGAATAATCTACAAAACTTATATCGAATTTATATGACAAAAGAAAAATTAACATAAACAAGCGTAAACTTACTTGTCTGCGCTTTCGATCGGTTATTTCGCCCTGTAATGGTTCAGGAATCCCAGCCACGTCAATGGTTGGGATAGCATCTTTCTTCAACCTTCTTTTGAGCTTGACTTGCACGCTCAAATTAAGGTCAAAACAAGAATCTTTAAAATGCGCAGAACACAGACACGAGGTAGAGGAAGCCTCAAAACCCGGTCTATGTTTACGCACAAAATTTACCCATTTTCTATGTCTTTGCGGCTCTGTTTCTTTTTTAGGAAACAGATGCATCGACATTCCTTCTGTTTTTGAATCATTGGCGCAACTAATTTGATTAGGTCCGCCAGCAACACAGCGTTTTCCTCCGCGTTTCTTATTAAGATTACTAGTAGAATACGCCATGTTGATATATGTGTTCAACTTTCTACGTCACAAGCATTAGCATACCGATCAAAAAGTTCGCAAAAAAATACTGAAAATCGTGACTTTGAACGTCCGTAAAATCACTTTCACCAATCCAATTTAAATTATAATTGCAGATTTAAAATCACTGAAACAAGGTCTTTCAATTTAGCTAATAAAAAAAAGGGGGGGGGCTAAAATTCGTGATATAACCACTTTAAGGGTTTGGCAAGGACTTTGTCTGGTGTAGTTAAAAATAAATAACGTTTCCATAATTCGGTAAAAGCCCAATACTCAGTAGGCATATTAGCTAAATACACGACAATTTTTTTAAAGAACAAAAACACAAACGAAGCAAGCTACCCAACCTGACACATGCCATTTTAAATTACTCTACACTGGCCTCCTTTCACAAATTACTAAACAGATATTAGAAAACTTAAATATCAATGTGGTTTTTTTATCTTTTCAAATTAAAAAATCATTTTAGCCTTCAAGATCCCATTTCCAAACTTTTCAAATCTAACGTGATTTATGATTTTTCTTGCGCTGGATGTCATTCCAACTAGTTTGGAGAAACCATCCGCCTGCTCTCCACACGGATTAAGGAACACACAACTACGGACTATAAGCAACACATGTTTTGACCTTTACTTACATAACCACACTGCTAAACCAATTACACGCAATCTTGCTTAATTTGCATCTTAGACACCGCTTATACTCCTTTTAATTGGCCTTAATATCGTCGAAGCGCTTTATATTAATGACCTAATCCAAACATAAACCTATACCTAATCCAAACAAACAAATACACTTGGCATCAATGGTTATTTTATTTATTTTTGTAAACACATAGCAGGAATGGCAAAACTTAACACTATTTTTACTTGTAAATAAGTAATCTATACTTCGCTTTCTATCATTGTAGCCTTTGTAGCTTCACATATGTTCAGTGTTATGTAACACGAAGGGCCTGTTTAGAAGTAGGGTAACTTTACAAGAATTGTTAACTTAGCAAGTGGATTAAAATTGGCGAGCGTTCACACGAGGCAGGTCAACCATACTTGCAGATCTATGTAATTTTCAGTAGGGTCTGTGTTTTGCCAAAAATGGTGGCATATGCATCTTGTATAGCGCTGACAGTGGATGAATATATTTTGTTTATATAAATGCATAAAAAATGGAAACTTCGGTATAGGGCCTTTGAAAATCCTCTTTGAATTCTATTATATTCACATTGAGTTTTTTTAAAGAAGAATTAGCAATCAAAAAGTCAAATCTTTCATTGGAGTCCAAAAATTTTTTTAGCCACTGCCCTTTCGGCCAGCATTGCATTGTTTGACTTTGTAGGGTCATGTTGTACCAGTTCACCGTGTGTAAATATATATATCTATGTAAATAATCTCATTCACTTCACACTGAACATGGCGTAAATTATGTCGAAACATTTTGCTTCTTGTCGTTTATTTAAAGGTCTTCCATAAAAATAGTTGTGAAGCAATTGGAATCAAAAATAATTTTTATACATTACGTTTAAGGGTTGTTTTCAGGACTGTCGCATTGATGGGTAGAAAAAACATATCCAGTTGAGTAATGAATGTGATAGACAATAGTGAAATTACGAAAAATATCATCATAAAGTTTTACACCAAAATATTTACCTGTAGTTTTTCCAAACTGTTCCAAGAAAAGTTACCGAAGGGTAAGAAACGCTTTGTATTCTGAAATATATACCACGTAAAAAGTCACCCGTAACAAGCACGTTTATTAATGATACCAAATGTTGAGCCAAATTAAATTTTCATAATTCCAAGCATAGAGGTCATTACACAGTTTAATTAAACGACAATTTTTCCAGCAGAGACTAATTCACACCTACCCAACCTGACAAGCTTAATTTTTCAAACTCCTCTACATTGGCTTCCTTTCACAATACAGTGAAATAGTGGTGTCATACTTTTGTTATATCATAATAATATAAATACCTTATCTTCGGAAACTGTTTCGTGCGCAGACCCTTCTGTCGAAATTTTAATCGCGTCTTCCAGCTACAATCAACAAATAATTCAGTAAGCATAATATATACATTGCATTATACAATACCTATACATATAAATAATAATACATGTGAGACGAAACTAGGTGATAGGTGGGAACTAGGGAATCTGAAGCCCCGTCCCCTTTTTCAAATAGCAAAACAAAAAAGATATTTAGATTGAGCTGAAGTTATTGCTTAGAAGTGTTTTTCAATTAGATGTTATAGTAGAATTGAAGACTAAGCCACCCCACTTCATAAAATGCTTCGCCGTCAATGAAAAAAACCACCGGTGAACAACACTTTTGCCCCACTTTTCGCAAAATCCAGATATTTTTTAACAACAACAAAATTTTCTAATTTTCTAACACGAAGCTCAAACAAGGTACTTTTGGTAGTGTTTCTATTTAGAAAATGTCTTCCTCATGCTGAGCTATAGACTCGGTCGACAAGAGAATCTACTCGAAACTATTGTCTACAATAATCAAATTTTCCCGCTTGTTAAATGTTTTATTTGATTGGAAATTATGATTATTTCTTTGTTTGACGTACAAATCAGGAACAAATTGATGGTTAAAAAAATACATGCGGTTGAGTAATGAATGTGGTAGAAAACAGTTAAAATATGAAAGACTTCGTCACAAAGTTTTCTTCGTCACATTTTGGTGACTTCGTCACCAAAAAATTTATCTGTGATTTTGGCAAACTTTACATTTGCAGTAGCATAGCTACATGGTGTTTCTTTGGTATCTTTAAAACTGTTAGAGGTCTTTAAGTCTTAGTCTTGTAGTATATTTGTGATAGTATATTTACATGGTTTTTTTATATTTGATAAGTTAAGGCAACAGAAAGGACATTTTGTGTGTACAGTCTACTATTTCTACTTTCTTGTTTTCTGTTTAGGAAAACAAGTAAACAAACATTGATGAACAATAACAATTATAAACTATCTAAAAGTTTAAAAAGTTAACATACCGAAATGGTTACGTGTCCATCAGTTCTGTGAATCTGTTTAGTCGTATCCTCTTGTAACGCTTGCTTCTGTAAATAAAAGAAATAGCTTTTCTTCAGTTGGTTCTTAACTTTAGAATTTTTACGATATTCTTAAGATTTACAGGTTACTATACCGGAGACGTTGTTTTGTGAGAAGTATTCTCATCCACTTCTGATGTCTACAAAATTAATCATTAAATGATTTACCAGCCAACAATAATTTAAGTCGTTTTGTTCCATCATAATAATATGCAAACATACTTCGTCGCTCTGTTCATCGGCAGAACTATCTCCAGAGGTCTCTTTCTGCGGCTAGAATAAACAAATAACAAAGCGATAACAAATTTATCTGACTGATAATGAACACAGTTAATTTCAAGGAGTTATTTCAACTCCAAAGGGGGGATTAACATGACTCCTTTCGGTGGAGTACAAAGTTAAGAGTTATATCAACCCCTAAAATGTTAGAGTATAATTAATGGAGTTATTTTAAACATAAAATTTTACTCCGGTTGTATTATGACTATTAACTGTAGTTGTTTTAACTTCTTATGATATAATTGCTATAAATTGTTACAGTTGATACAATTGCTATAAATATAAAGGTAATAATTGCAATAAATTAAATAATGTATTAATAAAACGAATAACCCTTTCCTATTATTTAATCAACCATAGCGTTCGCCCACGCCGGTTGAAGCTCATGACATAATTTATTCTTTTGTATCTGACAGTCGACATGGCGGAATAAAAACTCAAACTTTATCGCTTCTTCGCCATTAACAACACATTAAAAACAACCGATTACTCCATCGATCCACAAATCATGTTGAGTTCTGTTTTCTGTGCGTATAAAGAACAAACCACTCACAGTTTGGGAAATAAATAGATGGCTATGTGCGTAGAGCACGTGCCGAATTATAATTTATTAAATTTTTACAAATTTAAGGAGTTGAATTTAACGTAAGGATGCTTTAATAATTTTTTTCACAAAAAAGGTGGAGGATAAAAACGCCCACTCCAATTGCATGTCACTGTTAAGCCCTGCAACTGTTATTGAAAATTTTAATGTTCCATGATGTGATGAAGGGTGGAGGGGGTGGGTGATCCTTTATATCTAACTTTGATAGACGTCTACCCTTCGGCTAGTTTGACGACAATGACCTTGTGTCTAGAGGTAACTTATTATATATATATATATAAAAATCACTTAAAATCCGGAGAAACTTTATCTTTTATGTATTAAATGCCTGGATTACAAATTTTCAAACTTATAAAATCGACATATGGGATAGATATTCTCAGAAGAACAAGAAAATGGGAATTATTCGCACGTAAAGAGTCATCAACATTGGAGCAGCTTCACTTCCTACACAATTGCAAACAACAACGAATCCTACCAAACAGCATCAACTATCGACCACCATTAAAAACAACTCACGCTCAACAAATTGCACAATCAAACGGCGGCCGTATGTTAAACGTCCTCATATCAGTATACCGCAAAACCACCCACACAGACCAAATACTCGATTTCAACAGCAATCATCCAACACAACACAAAATAAGCTGCATTCGAACACTTTTCAACAGGATAAACACTCATTGTAATACGGAAGAAGCAAAAAAAAATAGAACGCAACTACTTATACTGCTCATTTATTAAAAACAATTACCCTGGAAACTTCATAAACAAAACTATATACAAAATACAAAACAAAACACAAACCGACAAAAGCAACAAAAAACCGGACGAAACAAGGACAAAAAAACTACAAACAACACCAAAACTAAAACACTGCACTCTAATATTATTAACACCAATCATATTCACAATACATCAAAACCTATGGCAACGCATTTCACCCCATCCAATCACATTAATCCACCCACTAATCCAATTAGACGCTCTAAACGTCTCCAAGCTAAAAGCACGTGTAAATAAATATCCTCATTCTGATGAAGGCTCGAAGCAACGAGTCGAAAGCTCAATAAAATTCACTTAAGATCCGGAGAAACTTTTATCTTTTATGTATATATATATATATATATATAGGAAGTTTATAATTTATGATTTTCCGTATAAAACAGTGCTCGATGCCAGAGAGCAGAGCGTAAATATGCGTAGTGGTGTTGAGAAAAATCACAAAACTACAGATTCATCCCGACAAGCCTGTTTCGTGATTGCTCACTCTTCAGGGGATGTAATTTTCGTGATTGCTCACTCTTCAGTAATATTCTTTCTGTACAATCCTATTTGCATCACACGAAGTACTGCTAAAACCACCTAAGGCATCATACAAATACAAAACTTACCACCGGAAGCAATAAAAGTATTATTCCCGTGGCAAATAACTCCTTTATTAATTTAAATCATTCGAGAGAATATTACTGCAAATACAAAATCCGCTTACAGCCAAGCGGAACGTAGATTAATGGATCGATACATTTCCCTTGAGGAGAGAACATATTTTATTGGAACCATCAGCTGTGGAACAGGTTCTAGAACAATTTCCTGCTATAAGACTGGTGTCAGAAGCGAGTCCTATTTCTACAATTGTGCTTTTGGCGAGGATTCGAATGTAAATTTTTCTGCATTAAAAGCCGGCACAAGTTATAACTGTTTTTCATTCTTCCTTTAATTCAGAAATTGAGGAAAATGTAGCAGTAATACTTCTTCCACTTTTGATAAATGAACGTACTACAAAACATTCAGGCTCACTTCACATTTGCTCTGTAAGTATTATAGTGAAAGATTTATTTGTACGTCATAGCCACTTGATTGCTCACTTTCTAATTGAACAGGGCATTTTTATCCGGTATTTTATTTTTTTTTTTATTATATTATACTATATATATTATATTATATATATATTATATATTATATATTATACTTTATTGTATTGTCGATATGTCTGTTTATTGTGTCGTTGTCTAAACAGACATATCGACATACCCATCATATACTCACAACTAAAGAAAAAGGACATAAAAACTACAAACAACACCAAAACTAAAACACTACACTCTAATATTATTAACACCAATCATATTCACAATACACCAAAACCCATGGCAACGCATTTCACCCCATCCAATCACATTAATCCACCCACTCATCCAATTAGACGCACTAAACGTCTCCAAGCTAAAAAGCACGTGTAAATAAATATTTTTCATTCTGATGAAGGCTTTTATCTTTTATGTATATATATATATATATATTTGAAAATTGGTAACCCAGGCATATTATGATCCAGAGAATTCTTATCATTATCATATATATATATATTATTGAACAATTTCGGCTTGCGTAAGTGAACTAAAAAACAGCACAATTAATATTCTAAAACACTGCTGCTACTGCATCATGACTTTCTACTAAGTAGCGTTGTGTTGAAGTGCTCCTTTGAATTTTAGTACAACGAATTAAAATGTTTATTGCATTATAAGAAAAAAAACAAAATCTGAAAATATCAGAAAACTTATCACCTTAAGTTGTTCGATCCACACGAAATTTTTATTATGGGACAATGTTAATAGACTAGTGTAGTAAATAAGGTTCAGTGAGGGGAAAACTTAAATCAAATGCAAGCACATAAGATAATTTACACATATATGCAGCCAATAGCTTTGTTCAAACGAGAAGTATTAGTATAAAATACACAAAGACCAAGGATTTAGCACATTGGAAAAGTACCCTATACACAAAATGCAAGCTCACTGACATTCAAGCAGTCAACTTTTTTCGCTATGTACATTTGTGATCTCCTGCATTAAAATATACACATTTACTTAAAATGCACACATATAAACATTTATTGGATGTACAAGGGTCACGACACGTCACGTTTGGAAAACAAACCCTTTCACAAAGCGCTTACTGATATTAAAGGAGTCACGAATATTTGATCAAAAAATGTACAAACTTTAAAATTGTGTAAAATTTCCATTTTTTTCCAAAGCAAAAGTCACGTCGATATAATATTCGACACGGTATGATATAGGATAAATGAATTGAAAATTTGAGATTACTCACAAGGAGAGGTTTTAGGCCAAACTAAAGCACTTACGTGGGTAAACGAGGAAGGATTTTGGTAGAAGTTGGATCAAACTGTCATTGGCCTACACTTTTTGCAAACAATATGTTTACAATCGTGCTAATACATATGACGTTTTACTCTTTTCAACCCTTTCATGCCAAATTAATCATACTCTTTGAATGCACCTCTAAGATTTTCTTTAATAGTCTACACTTAATTTATATTTGCCTTAGCTATCGCCGACCGACGGTTGTCCATGTGCTTTCACCAATTAACTTACCTCCTTAACATTTCTATCGACAAGTTTCTTAGATGTCATCAGCTCAACCTAAAAAATAATGATAACTGAATTTCTGTGAAACATATCCATAATTCCTCTTGAAAAATTATAAAGACTTACCGCCTTATTTGCATTTATTTTGTCATGTTCGTGCTCAGCTTGTTCATTCAAATATTCCTTACTGGAGGAGAGCTTTAATTGAGGATCGAGTATTGGTTAAAAAATTTCTTTTCCAAAGGAAGAATTATTAAAAATTACATGATGCGTATAAAAGCACAAGAAAAGTGATTTTTCAATATGAACATAATAGCCCAACATAAGACTTCTAAACTATGAACACTTTCATAGTTATAAACACTTTCATACCTAAATATAAGTTCGCCAGCTATAAACACTTTCATACCGAACTAAAAGCTGCTAGAAAATTGTTCACCTTAAACAACTTCCCCTCATACATGTTTGACAATCATGTTCACCGCTTCCTCAACAATACATTTGAACCCAAAGATACTATTCACACTGCTCCTAAGAAAATCATGTACTTCTGTCTCCCTTTCACTGGCCTACAATGTCTTCAGATTCGCACTCAAATCACTCGACTCTGCAATGCTGCCTTTCCTCATATCAACGTTTGCTTTGTTTTTCGTTCTTCCAGGCGTCTCTCCTCTGTCTTTCCATTTAAAGATAGGGTTCCAAGCTTCTGAGATCTGGTGTTGTATACTCATTTAAGTATCGATGCTGCTCTGCATCGTTTGTTGGTCAAACCACGCGTCATTTACACACCAGAATATCGGAACACTTGGGAATCTCTCCCTTAACAAGGAAACCTTCTTATGTCCACCACCATTTGCAGTTCTTTCCAATATAAGAAATACATCTCACTCTGCCGCTTTTAATGACTTCTCAATTCTCTCTTCCTCCTCCGACAATTATGACCTTATGATTCATGAAAGCCTTCTTATATCCAAACTTAAACCCTCTCTTAACACCCAAGGCAACTCAATCCCCTTTCACCTTCTTTAATATACCGCCATTCTCACTTAATTCCGTCATCTAATCTTCCTACTCCCCTCACATGTAATTTAACACCATGTAATATATGCTTGTATTGAAAACCTAATGTATATAATTTATCTCAAATAATCTGAAGATGTCTTAAGATAAAGACGAAACGTTATTAAAAAATCTTTCTTCATTTTACTGTTGTGATGGCTTTTTTAAAAGTCTTATGTTGGGCTATTATGTTCATATTTTAAATTCGCTTTCCGCCTGGCAACTCTCTGGCCACGATTTTAAAAGTGATTTTGGCAAACTTTACATTTGCAGTAGCATAGCTACATGGTGTTTCTTTGGTATCTTTAAAACTGTTAGAGGTCTTTAAGTCTTAGTCTTGTAGTATATTTGTGATAGTATATTTACATGGTTTTTTTATATTTGATAAGTTAAGGCAACAGAAAGGACATTTTGTGTTTACAGTGTACTATTTCTACTTTCTAGTTTTCTGTTTAGGAAAACAAGTAAACAAACATTGATGAACAATAACAATTATAAACTATCTAAAAGTTTAAAAAGTTAACATACCGAAATGGTTACGTGTCCATCAGTTCTGTGAATCTGTTTAGTCGTATCCTCTTGTAACGCTTGCTTCTGTAAATAAAAGAACTAGCTTTTCTTCAGTTGGTTCTTAACTTTAGAATTTTTACGATATTCTTAAGATTTACAGGTTACTATACCGGAGACGTTGTTTTGTGAGAAGTATTCTCATCCACTTCTGATGTCTACGAAATTAATCATTGAATGATTTACCAGCCAACAATAATTTAATTCTTTTTGTACCATCATAATAACATAAAAACATACTTTGTCGCTCTGTTCATTGGCAGAACTATCTCCAGAGGTCTCTTTCTGCGGCTAGAATAAACAAATAACAAAGCGATGACAAATTTATCTGACTGATAATGAACACAGTTAATTTCAAGGAGTTATTTCAACTCCAAAGGGGGGATTAACATGACTCCTTTCGGTGGAGTACAAAGTTAAGAGTTATATCAACCCCTAAAATGTTAGAGTATAATTAATGGAGTTATTTTAAACATAAAATTTTACTCCGGTTGTATTATGACTATTAACTGTAGTTGTTTTAACTTCTTATGATGTAATTGCTATAAATTGTTACAGTTGATACAATTGCTATAAATATAAAGGTAATAATTGCTATAAATTAAATAAAGTATTAATAAAACGAATAACCCTTTCCTATTATTTCATCAACCATTGCGTTCGCCCACGCCGATTGAAGCTCATGACATAATTTATTCTTTTGTATCTGACAGTCAACATGGCGGAATAAAAACTCAAACTTTATCGCTTCTTCGCCATTAACAACACATTAAAAACAACCGATTACTCCAACGATCCACAAATCATGTTGAGTTCTGTTTTCTGTGCGGATAAAGAGCAAACCACTCACAGTTTGGGAAATAGATGGCTATGCGCGTAGAGCACGTGCCGAATTATAATTTATTAAATTTTTACAAATTTAAGGAGTTGAATTTAACGTAAGGATGTTTTAATAATTTTTTTCACAAAAAAGGTGGAGGATAAAAACGCCCACTCCAATTGCATGTCACTGTTAAGCCCTGCAACTGTTATTGAAAATTTCAATGTTCCATGACGTGATGAAGGGTGGAGGGGGTGGGTGATCCTTTATATCTAATTTTGATAGACGTCTACCCTTCGGCTAGTTTGACGACAATGACCTTGTGTCTTGATGTAACTTATTCATCACTATATATAACTACGACATGCCACATGCATGTACACGTGATTGGAATTATACAAAGTGTATCAACTTTTTTTCTGTACAATCCTATTTGCATCACACGAAGTACTGCTAAAACCACCTAAGGCATCATGCAAATACAAAACTTACCACCGGAAGCAATAAAAGTATTATTCCCGTGGCAAATAACTCCTTTATTAATTTAAATCATTCGAGAGAATATTACTGCAAATACAAAATCCGCTTACAGCCAAGCGGAACGTAGATTAATGGATCGATACATTTCCCTTGAGGAGAGAACATATTTTATTGGAACCATCAGCTGTGGAACAGGTTCTAGAACAATTTCCTGCTATAAGACTGGTGTCAGAAGCGAGTCCTATTTCTACAATTGTGCTTTTGGCGAGGATTCGAATGTAAATTTTTCTGCATTAAAAGCCGGCACAAGTTATAACTGTTTTCCATTCTTCCTTTAATTCAGAAATTGAGGAAAATGTAGCAGTAATACTTCTTCCACTTTTGATAAATGAACGTACTACAAAACATTCAGGCTCACTTCACATTTGCTCTGTAAGTATTATAGTGAAAGATTTATTTGTACGTCATAGCCACTTGATTGCTCTCTTTCTAATTGAACAGGGCATTTTTATCCGGTATTTTATATTTTTTATTATATTATACTATATATATTATATTATATATTATATATTATACTTTATTGTATTGTCGATATGTCTGTTTATTGTGTCGTTGTCTAAACAGACATATCGACATACCCATCATATACTCACAACTAAAGAAAAGGACATAAAACTACAAACAACACCAAAACTAAAACACTACACTCTAATATTATTAACACCAATCATATTCACAATACACCAAAACCCATGGCAACGCATTTCAGCCCATCCAATCACATTAATCCACCCACTCATCCAATTAGACGCTCTAAACGTCTCCAAGCTAAAAAGCACGTGTAAATAAATATTTTTCATTATGATGAAGGCTCGAAGCAACGAGTCGAAAGCTCAATAAAACTCACTTTAAATCCGGAGACTTTTATCTTTTATGTATATATATATATATATATATATAGGAAGTTTTGTTTATTTGAATGTCCGTAAGTACAGTGCTCGATGCTTAAGAGCAGAGCGTAAATATTGATGAGAAGAAGAAAATACACAAAAAGTTTTTGTGTATTTTCTTCTTCTCATCAATATATATATATATAAGTTTGAAAATTTGTAATCCAGGCATTGAATATATAAAAGATAAACGTTTCTCCGGATTTTTAAATGATTTTTATTGAGCTTTCGACTCGTTGCTTCGAGCCTTCATCAGAAGACAACGACAACGACATAACCATAAACACGACATATCGACACAAACTGACAACGACACAATAAACAGACATATCGACATACCCATCATATACTCACAACTAAAGAAAAAGGACAAAAAAACTACAAACAACACCAAAACTAAAACACTACACTCTAATTATATTAACACCAACCATATTAACAACACACCAAAACCCATGGCAACGCATTTCACCCCATCCAATCACATTAATCCACCCACTAATCCAATTAGACGCTCTAAACGTCTCCAAGCTAAAAACACGTGTAAATAAATATCCTCATTCTGATGAAGGCTCGAAGCAACGAGTCGAAAGCTCAATAAAAATCATTTAAAAATCCGGAGAAACGTTTATCTTTTATATATATATATATATATATATCATGGATCAATGTAAAAAACGCTGGAAAAAATAAAACAATACCTTGTCTGTCGTCGATGATGTTGTTTCAGTAGGGCTAGAAGTGACCTTACGAAAACTGTTGTCTTTATCTGTTGAACAATTTCGGCTTGCGTAAGGGAACTAAAAAACAGCACAATTAATATTCTAAAACACTGCTGCTACTGCATCATGACGTCTCTTTATGAGACTCTCTACGCAATCCGAGAGCGCTCATACTGCGCAAGCGCAGCGAGCGTAATATACAAAGTGTATAACAATGTGCCCTCCCGGCTATCACCATAGTAAAATGGGGACTCCTGCACTTGGGACACAGGACGTACGGTTATATATATATCATGGATCAATGTAAAAAATACTGGAAAAAATACAACAATACCTTGTCTGTCGTCGATGATGTTGTTTCAGTAGGGCTAGAAGTGACCTTACGAAAACTGTTGTCTTTATCTGTTGAACAATTTCGGCTTGCGTAAGTGAACTAAAAAACAGCACAATTAATATTCTAAAACACTGCTGCTACTGCATCATGACTTTCTACTAAGTAGCGTTGTGTTGAAGTGCTCCTTTGAATTTTAGTACAACGAATTAAAATGTTTATTGCATTATAAGAAAAAAAAACAAAATCTGACAATATCAGAAAACTTATCACCTTAAGTTGTTCGATCCACACGAAATTTTTATTATGGGACATTGTTAATAGACTAGTGTAGTAAATAAGGTTCAGTGAGGGGAAAACTTAAATCAAATGCAAGCACTTAAGATAATATACACATATATGCAGCCAATAGCTTTGTTCAAACGAGAAGTATTAGTATAAAATACACAAAGACCAAGGATTTAGAACATTGGAAAAGTACCCTATACACAAAATGCAAGCTCACTGACATTCAAGCAGTCAACTTTTTTTGCTATGTACATTTGTGATCTCCTGCATTAAAATATACACATTTACTTAAAATGCACACATATAAACAGTTATTGGATGTACAAGCGTCACGACACGTCACGTTTGGAAAACAAACCCTTTCACAAAGCGCTTACTGATATTAAAGGAGTCACGAATATTTGATCAAAAAATGTACAAACTTTAAAATTGTGTAAAATTTCCATTTTTTTCCAAAGCAAAAGTCACGTCGATATAATATTCGACACGGTATGATATAGGATAAATGAATTGAAAATTTGAGATTACTCACAAGGAGAGAATTTAGGCCAAACTAAAGCACTTACGTGGGTAAACGAGGAAGGATTTTGGTAGAAGTTGGATCAAACTGTCATTGGCCTACACTTTTTGCAAACAATATGTTTACAATCGTGCTAATACATATGACGTTTTACTCTTTTCAACCCTTTCATGCCAAATTAATCATACTCTTTGAATGCACCTCTAAGATTTTCTTTAATAGTCTACACTTAATTTATATTTGCCTTAGCTATCGCCGACCGACGGTTGTCCATGTGCTTTCACCAATTAACTTACCTCCTTAACATTTCTATCGACATGTTTCTTAGATGTCATCAGCTCAACCTAAAAAGTAATGATAACTGAATTACTGTGAAACATATCCATAATTCCTCTTGAAAAATTATAAAGACTTACCGCCTTATTTGCATTTATTTTGTCATGTTCGTGCTCAGCTTGTTCATTCAAATATTCCTTACTGGAGGAGACCTTTAATTGAGGATCGAGTATTGGTTAAAAAATTTCTTTTCCAAAGGAAGAATTATTAAAAATTACATGATGCGTATAAAAGCACAAGAAAAGTGATTTTTCAATATGAACATAATAGCCCAACATAAGACTTTTAAACTATGAACACTTTCATAGTTATAAACACTTTCATACCTAAATATAAGTTCGCCAGCTATAAACACTTTCATACCGAACTAAAAGTTGCTAGAAAATTGTTCACCTTAAACAACTTCCCCTCATACATATTTGACAATCATGTTCACCGCTTCCTCAACAATACATTTGAACCCAAAGATACTATTCACACTGCTCCTAAGAAAATCGTGTACTTCTGTCTCCCTTTCACTGGCCTACAATGTCTTCAGATTCGCACTCAAATCACTCGACTCTGCAATGCTGCCTTTCCTCATATCAACGTTGGCTTTGTTTTTCGTTCTTCCAGGCGTCTCTCCTCTTTCTTTCCATTTCAAGATAGGGTTCCCAAGCTCCTGAGATCTGGTGTTGTATACCCATTTAAGTGTCGATGCTGCTCTGCATCGTTTGTTGGTCAAACCACGCGTCATTTACACACCAGAATATCGGAACACTTGGGAATCTCTCCCTTAACAAGGAAACCTTCTTATGTCCACCACCATTTGCAGTTCTTTCCCATATAAGAAATACATCTCCCTCTGCCGATTTTAATGACTTCTCGATTCTCTCTTCCTCCTCCGACAATTATGACCTTATGATTCATGAAAGCCTTCTTATATCCAAACTTAAACCCTTTCTTAACACCCAAGGCAACTCAATCCCCTTTCACCTTCTTTAATATACCGCCATTCTCACTTAATTCCGTCATCTAAACTTCCTACTCCCCTCACATGTAATTTAACACCAAGTAATATATGCTTGTATTGAAAACCTAATGTATATAATTTATCTCAAATAATCTGAAGATGTCTTAAGTTAAAGACGAAACGTTATTAAAAAATCTTTCTTCATTTTACTGTTGTGATGGCTTTTTTAAAAGTCTTATGTTGGGCTATTATGTTCATATTTTAAATTCGCTTTCCGCCTGGCAAATCTCTGGCCACGATTTTAAAAGTGATTTTGGCAAACTTTACATTAGCAGTAGCATAGCTACATGGTGTTTCTTTGGTATCTTTAAAACTGTTAGAGGTCTTTAAGTCTTAGTCTTGTAGTATACTTGTGATAATATAGTTACATGGTTTTTTATATTTGATAAGTTAAGGCAACAGAAAGGACATTTTGTGTTTACAGTGTACTATTTCTACTTTCTTGTTTTCTGTTTAGGAAAACAAGTAAACAAACATTGATGAACAATAACAATTATAAACTATCTAAAAGTTTAAAAAGTTAACATACCGAAATGGTTACGTGTCCATCAGTTCTGTGAATCTGTTTAGTCGTATCCTCTTGTAACGCTTGCTTCTGTAAATAAAAGAAATAGCTTTTCTTCAGTTGGTTCTTAACTTTAGAATTTTTACGATATTCTTAAGATTTACAGGTTACTATACCGGAGACGTTGTTTTGTGAGAAGTATTCTCATCCACTTCTGATGTCTACGAAATTAATCATTGAATGATTTACCAGCCAACAATAATTTAATTCTTTTTGTACCATCATAATAACATAAAAACATACTTTGTCGCTCTGTTCATTGGCAGAACTATCTCCAGAGGTCTCTTGCTAGAATAAACAAATAACAAAGCGATGAAAAATTTATCTGACTGATAATGAACACAGTTAATTTCAAGGAGTTATTTCAACTCCAAAGGGGGGATTAACATGACTCCTTTCGGTGGAGTACAAAGTTAAGAGTTATATCAACCCCTAAAATGTTAGAGTATAATTAATGGTGTTATTTTAAACATAAAATTTTACTCCGGTTGTATTATGACTATTAACTGTAGTTGTTTTAACTTCTTATGATATAATTGCTATAAATTGTTACAGTTGATACAATTGCTATAAATATAAAGGTAATAATTGCTATAAATTAAATAATGTATTAATAAAACGAATAACCCTTTCCTATTATTTCATCAACCATTGCGTTCGCCCACGCCGATTGAAGCTCATGACATAATTTATTCTTTTGTATCTGACAGTCGACATGGCGGAATAAAAACTCAAACTTTATCGCTTCTTCGCCATTAACAACACATTAAAAACAACCGATTACTCCATCGATCCACAAATCATGTTGAGTTCTGTTTTCTGTGCGGATAAAGAGCAAACCACTCACAGTTTGGGAAATAGATGGCTATGCGCGTAGAGCACGTGCCGAATTATAATTTATTAAATTTTTACAAATTTAAGGAGTTGAATTTAACGTAAGGATGTTTTAATAATTTTTTCACAAAAGGTGGAGGATAAAACGCCCACTCAATTGCATGTCACTGTTAAGCCCTGCAACTGTTATTGAAAATTTCAATGTTCCATGACGTGATGAAGGGTGGAGGGTGGGTGATCCTTTATATCTAATTTTGATAGACGTCTACCCTTCGGCTAGTTTGACGACAATGACCTTGTGTCTTGATGTAACTTATTCATCACTATATATAACTACGACATGCCACATGCATGTACACGTGATTGGAATTATACAAAGTGTATCAACTTTTTTCTACAATCCTATTTGCATCACACGAAGTACTGCTAAAACCACCTAAGGCATCATGCAAATACAAAACTTACCACCGGAAGCAATAAAAGTATTATTCCCGTGGCAAATAACTCCTTTATTAATTTAAATCATTCGAGAGAATATTACTGCAAATACAAAATCCGCTTACAGCCAAGCGGAACGTAGATTAATGGATCGATACATTTCCTTGAGGAGAGAACATATTTTATTGGAACCATCAGCTGTGGAACAGGTTCTAGAACAATTTCCTGCTATAAGACTGGTGTCAGAAGCGAGTCCTATTTCTACAATTGTGCTTTTGGCGAGGATTCGAATGTAAATTTTTCTGCATTAAAAGCCGGCACAAGTTATAACTGTTTTCCATTCTTCCTTTAATTCAGAAATTGAGGAAAATGTAGCAGTAATACTTCTTCCACTTTTGATAAATGAACGTACTACAAAACATTCAGGCTCACTTCACATTTGCTCTGTAAGTATTATAGTGAAAGATTTATTTGTACGTCATAGCCACTTGATTGCTCTCTTTCTAATTGAACAGGGCATTTTTATCCGGTATTTTATATTTTTTTTTATTATATTATACTATATATATATATATATATTATATATTATACTTTATTGTATTGTCGATATGTCTGTTTATTGTGTCGTTGTCTAAACAGACATATCGACATACCCATCATATACTCACAACTAAAGAAAAAGGACATAAAAACTACAAACAACACCAAAACTAAAACACTACACTCTAATATTATTAACACCAATCATATTCACAATACACCAAAACCCATGGCAACGCATTTCAGCCCATCCAATCACATTAATCCACCCACTCATCCAATTAGACGCTCTAAACGTCTCCAAGCTAAAAAGCACGTGTAAATAAATATTTTTCATTATGATGAAGGCTCGAAGCAACGAGTCGAAAGCTCAATAAAACTCACTTTAAATCCGGAGAGACTTTTATCTTTTATGTATATATATATATATATATATATAGGAAGTTTTGTTTATTTGAATGTCCGTAAGTACAGTGCTCGATGCTTAAGAGCAGAGATGAGAAGAAGAAAATACACAAAAAGGTTTTGTGTATTTTCTTCTTCTCATCAATATATATATATATAAGTTTGAAAATTTGTAATCCAGGCATTGAATATATAAAAGATAAACGTTTCTCCGGATTTTTAAATGATTTTTATTGAGCTTTCGACTCGTTGCTTCGAGCCTTCATCAGAAGACAACGACAACGACATAACCATAAACACGACATATCGACACAAACTGACAACGACACAATAAACAGACATATCGACATACCCATCATATACTCACAACTAAAGAAAAAGGACAAAAACTACAAACAACACCAAAACTAAAACACTACACTCTAATTATATTAACACCAACCATATTAACAACACACAAAACCCATGGCAACGCATTTCACCCCATCCAATCACATTAATCCACCCACTAATCCAATTAGACGCTCTAAACGTCTCCAAGCTAAAACACGTGTAAATAAATATCCTCATTCTGATGAAGGCTCGAAGCAACGAGTCGAAAGCTCAATAAAATGATTTAAAAATCTGGAGAAACTTTCATTTTTATACATATATATTTATATAGGAAGTTTTGTTTATTTGAATCTCCTTAAGTACAGTGCTCGATGCTTAAGAGCAGAGCGTAATATTGATGAGAAAATACACAAAAACTACAATTTCATCCCGACAAGCCTGTTTCGTGATTTCTCACTCTTCAGGGGATAATATTATCTTCTGAGAAATCACGAAACAGGCTTGTCGGGATGAAATTGTAGTTTTGTATTTTCTTTTCTCATCAATATATATATATATATATATATATATCATGGATCAATGTAAAAAATGCTGGAAAAAATAAAACAATACCTTGTTATTCGTCGATGATGTTGTTTCAGTAGGGCTAGAAGTGACCTTACGAAAACTGTTGTCTTTATCTGTTGAACAATTTCGGCTTGCGTAAGGGAACTAAAAAACAGCACAATTAATATTCTAAAACACTGCTGCTACTGCATCATGACGTCTCTTTATGAGACTCTCTACGCAATCCGAGAGCGCTCATACTGCGCAAGCGCAGCGAGCGTAATATACAAAGTGTATAACAATGTGCCCTCCCGGCTATCACCATAGTAAAATGGGGACTCCTGCACTTGGGACACAGGACGTACGGTTATATATATATCATGGATCAATGTAAAAAATACTGGAAAAAATACAACAATACCTTGTCTGTCGTCGATGATGTTGTTTCAGTAGGGCTAGAAGTGACCTTACGAAAACTGTTGTCTTTATCTGTTGAACAATTTCGGCTTGCGTAAGTGAACTAAAAAACAGCAAAATTAATATTCTAAAACACTGCTGCTACTGCATCATGACGTCTCTTTATAAGACTCTCTACGCAATCCGAGAGCGCTCATACTGCGCAAGCGCAGCGAGCGTAATATACAAAGTGTATAACAATGTGCCCTCCCGGCTATCACCATAGTAAAATGGGGACTCCTGCACTTGGGACACAGGACGTACGGTTATATATATATCATAGATCAATGTAAAAAATACTGGAAAAATACAACAATACCTTGTCTGTCGTCGATGATGTTGTTTCAGTAGGGCTAGAAGTGACCTTACGAAAACTGTTGTCTTTATCTGTTGAACAATTTCGGCTTGCATAAGTGAACTAAAAAACAGCACAATTAATATTCTAAAACACTGCTGCTACTGCATCATGACGTCTCTTTATGAGACTCTCTACGCAATCCGAGAGAGCTCATACTGCGCAAGCGCAGCGAGCGTAATATACAAAGTGTATAACAATGTGCCCTCCCGGCTATCACCATAGTAAAATGGGGACTCCTGCACTTGGGACACAGGACGTACGGTTATATATATATCATGGATCAATGTAAAAAATACTGGAAAAAATACAGCAATACCTTGTCTGTCGTCGATGATGTTGTTTCAGTAGGGCTAGAAGTGACCTTACGAAAACTGTTGTCTTTATCGGTTGAACAATTTCGGCTTGCGTAAGTGAACTAAAAAACAGCACAATTAATATTCTAAAACACTGCTGCTACTGCATCATGACTTTCTACTAAGTAGCGTTGTGTTGAAGTGCTCCTTTGAATTTTAGTACAACGAATTAAAATGTTTATTGCATTATAAGAAAAAAAACAAAATCTGAAAATATCAGAAAACTTATCACCTTAAGTTGTTCGATCCACACGAAATTTGTATTATGGGACAATGTTAATAGACTAGTGTAGTAAATAAGGTTCAGTGAGGGGAAAACTTAAATCATATGCAAGCACTTAAGATAATTTACACATATATGCAGCCAATAGCTTTGTTCAAACGAGAAGTATTAGTATAAAATACACAAAGACCAAGGATTTAGCACATTGGAAAAGTACCCTATACACAAAATGCAAGCTCACTGACATTCAAGCAGTCAACTTTTTTCGCTATGTACATTTGTGATCACCTGCATTAAAATATACACACTTTTTTGGAGGAGAGCTTTAATTGAGGATCGAGTATTGGTTAAAAAATTTCTTTTCCAAAGGAAGAATTATTGAAAATTACATGATGCGTATAAAAGCACAAGAAAAGTGATTTTTCAATATGAACATAATAGCCCAACATAAGACTTTTAAACTATGAACACTTTCATAGTTATAAACACTTTCATACCTAAATATAAGTTCGCCAGCTAAAAACACTTTCATACCGAACTAAAAATTGATAGAAAATTGTTCACCTTAAACAACTTCAACTCATACATATTTGACAATCATGTTCACCGCTTCCTCAACAATACATTTGAACCCAAAGATACTATTCACACTGCTCCTAAGAAAATCATGTACTTCTGTCTCCCTTTCACTGGCCTACAATGTCTTCAGATTCGCACTCAAATCACTCGACTCTGCAATGCTGCCTTTCCTCATATCAACGTTTGCTTTGTTTTTCGTTCTTCCAGGCGTCTCTCCTCTTTCTTTCCATTTAAAGATAGGGTTCCCAAGCTTCTGAGATCTGGTGTTGTATACTCATTTAAGTATCGATGCTGCTCTGCATCGTTTGTTGGTCAAACCACGCGTCATTTACACACCAGAATATCGGAACACTTGGGAATCTCTCCCTTAACAAGGAAACCTTCTTATGTCCACCACCATTTGCAGTTCTTTCCCATATAAGAAATACATCTCACTCTGCCGATTTTAATGACTTCTCAATTCTCTCTTCCTCCTCCGACAGTTATGACCTTATGATTCATGAAAGCCTTCTTATATCCAAGCTTAAACCCTCTCTTAACACCCAAGGCAACTCAATCCCCCTTCACCTTCTTTAATATACCGCCATTCTCACTTAATTCCGTCATTTAAACTTCCTACTCCCCTCACATGTAATTTAACACCATGTAATATATGCTTGTATTGAAAACCTAATGTATATAATTTATCTCAAATAATCTGAAGATGTCTTAAGTTAAAGACGAAACGTTATTAAAAAATCTTTCTTCATTTTACTGTTGTGATGGCTTTTTTAAAAGTCTTATGTTGGGCTATTATGTTCATATTTTAAATTCGCTTTCCGCCTGGCAACTCTCTGGCCACGATTTTAAAAGTGATTTTGGCAAACTTTACATTTGCAGTAGCATAGCTACATGGTGTTTCTTTGGTATCTTTAAAACTGTTAGAGGTCTTTAAGTCTTAGTCTTGTAGTATATTTGTGATAGTATATTTACATGGTTTTTTTATATTTGATAAGTTAAGGCAACAGAAAGGACATTTTGTGTTTACAGTCTACTATTTCTACTTTCTTGTTTTCTGTTTAGGAAAACAAGTAAACAAACATTGATGAACAATAACAATTATAAACTATCTAAAAGTTTAGAAAGTTAACATACCGAAATGGTTACGTGTCCATCAGTTCTGTGAATCTGTTTAGTCGTATCCTCTTGTAACGCTTGCTTCTGTAAATAAAAGAAATAGCTTTTCTTCAGTTGGTTGTTAACTTTAGAATTTTGACGATATTCTTAAGATTTACAGGTTACTATACCGGAGACATTGTTTTGTAAGAAGCATTCTCATCCACTTCTGATGTCTACGAAATTAATCATTGAATGATTTACCAGCCAACAATAATTTAATTCTTTTTGTACCATCATAATAACATAAAAACATACTTTGTCGCTCTGTTCATTGGCAGAACTATCTCCAGAGGTCTCTTTCTGCGGCTAGAATAAACAAAAAACAAAACAATGACAAAATAAGCATTTGAATACAATAATGATATTTATGAATATTTACATGCTGAGATATTGCAATATTGCATGAAAAGCTTTCAGTGAAAATTGTTTTCATACCTCTAAACACAGTGGACATAGAGGCTTCATGCAAATTAAAAAAATGTAAAAAGGCAAATCAAGGGGATATTTCTTTGGCGGCTTGATGAAATTGTCATTGGTATACCCTTAGGTAAACACGAAACGCTAAGATCTTACGATCTCATACGCATAATTAAAAAAATCATGATAAAACAAGGTAAAAAATTACAAAAATTTTCTTCTTGTCGTGATTACGCATTACTTTCTTTATATTGAATTATGGTATAATATATCACCATGTCATAAATCTAGACGCAAACTTTTTATGGTACACCTCATGTACTTCTATTTTCTTTCAATCATCCACACTCTAAACCCATTCCAATTAAGATTTGGATCTTTAAAAATTTCCCTAGACTATCATCGACTATTGTATTGTTAATGATCTGCTTTCAAAAATCAACTGATCTCATTGTCTTTGTCTGACGAAATATCATTTACACCTGACTTGTCAGTATGTTCCTTGGCTGTTGGGAACTGCTGACAAATTGCCTTTGACTGAAAAATTTATGAAGTCATGTGAAATAAAAACACTATCCATACGTCTGTGCCAACAAAATAAAGAAGACATAGCTACCGTAGAATCTTCATTTTGTTCATCACAGGCTTGAATTGCCAGTTGTGGCAATTTCTGTTCATCCCTTGACAGCTACAATGAACCAAAATTTTGTACCATTATTGTTCTGAGTCAACTAACATTTGGAGCAAAAAATATTTCTCTAGCTGTAGTAAACTGCTGTCCTGAACAGCGTTGATCTCGGGAATTTTAAGTGAAACAGTTTGGATTCTTTTTTGGAATTTTTATTTTGAATAGTAATTTTTTTGATTTTTGTACATTTCAGTAGGAGAATTTAGGTTTAAGAATAGCTTTTTGTGAAAATTTTTCGACTTATAAACGATTGTGCCACACGTTATGAAGATAAACCACGGTGCTAAACCAGTTAGCTGTATAAATTTCAACTGGTAGAAAGCTGTGACTTGTATATAGGACCGAAATTTTAATGTAAGAAGTCAAAATGTGTGTATTGAGTGTAGTGACTTACTGTTCCTTCAAAGAGACTGGGAAAATAAGAAGTTTTGAGATCTTTTGAGACTTAAGATTCTAATTAAATTACGTTGAGGAGCGTAGGTCATGCAATGTTTATAGCTTTCACCAATCAACAACCTCATCAACTACATGCTGCACATTGTCCTTTACAATAGACTCATTTTTCTCAGCTAGCGTGGACGGATATCTACTTTTCTAGGAATTTTGATAGATTCCACATGATGTGAAATTAGAACGCCATCCACAATTATGTGCAAAAATAAATCGACATACTGTTGGATCTCTATGTAGTTCACCAATTTCGTCTTTTGAAAGAGGAGCCTCTTTTAATGTTTCTTGCCAATCTGAAGCCTATATACAATAAACAAAGATTGAATAAAACAGTTTCCTACCCACCTTTTAAGCGAAAGGAAATTTTTAAGTTTGGTCATCCAAGTTAAACTCATGAAAATAAAAAAATAACTACACAAGGATGAAACTTGGCATTGAACAGGAATTTTGTGAACTATGGGATATGGGACCGAGAAAAATCACCTTTTTGACTTGAACACGTTTGTCGGGCACATTTCGATCTTTTTCCCTATATTCCTTTAGTTCTTCTTTCAAGCTCCTTATTTCACCGTCTTTTTTCCTGCTTTCCAACTCCAATGTCCATATTTTATCGTCTTTTATGTAGTTTTGCAACTTCAATGTCCGTATTTCATCATCTTTTTTTTTGTGAGAAGCGATGCAGGAACTTTTTTTGCATTCATTTTGACTGGATATCTTATATCTTGTATCACAATGGATTAAATTTTCCTAAAAAAGGCAATTATTAACGTTTTCACTGGTTGATTATTTTGTTCAATAATAGTACTTAGACACAAGTCTATTGTATTAGTAGTGACATTGTTTTTTGTCCACTCTGGGTTGAATTTGAGAGTTGCCATTTTAAGTAATGTTTCTACATGGAACAACTGTCCGGATGCGACTTCAATGATTTAAAAAAAAAAGAATGATAGCACAGCGCTATAACCAACAACTACAAACAATAACGACCTTATCTAACAACATTTGAGAAATTAACCTTTCACTCCTCTTCCTTGTAAACAAGACATGTCTACTCAAAAGCAGAGAGCCTTAAGGCTGAAACACACTAGGCAGTCGCTTTAGTCGCGCGTCTAAAGGCTGAAACACACTAGGCAGTCGCTTTAGTCGCGCGTCTAAAACTACCGCTTTGCGTGGTTACTAAGCTAGTAGCGTAGTCGCGTCAGCTGTTTGCTTTGAAAGTTCTTTTGACTTTGGTCGTTTCAGTCGCTTTACACTGATTGGCCAATAGATACATTTTAACTTCCTAAATGCATATCATATTTCCTGTCATAAGCATCATACGAAATTTATAGATTATACCTTGGAAAACGAAGGCAATATATAGTGGATTCACACTGGAATCTTTCAGTTTTATATGACTTATCAAATAGGAGAATAGGCTACAAACTGGAACCCTAATGCACAACCTAAATGCACAGAATAGGATTATCCACGATATACGCGTAATGTGCTATGATCATATTGGCGTGTTTTAACTGGCTTGCTCTCCTTTCTCCACATAGTAGTTTGTACTGAGTAAATATTCATATATTAGTAGCTATAATAAAGGCCAAAATAAAAAGCTTAAGTGATATCTGTGTCTGTAACAAACTAAAATCACCGCCATGTTCAATAGACGCCACGGTAAATGTCGCAATGGTCGCTGCATGTGTGTTTCTAGCGTTCAAGCGACTGACGCGTGCGCATCAATTCGCTTTGGACGCGCGACTGAAGCGACTGCCCAGTGTGTTTCAGCCTTAAAACTACCGCTTTGCGTGGTTACTAAGCTAGTAGCGTAGTCGCGTCAGCTAGTCGCTTTGAAAGTTCAACATGTTGAACTTTTGACTTTGGTCGCTTCAGTCGCTTTACACTGATTGGCCAATAGATACATTTTAACTTCCTAAATGCATATCATATTTCCTGTCATAAGCATCATACGAAATTTATAGATAATACCTAGGAAAACGAAGGCAATATATAGTGAATTCACACTGGAATCTTTCAGTTTTTATATGACTTATCAAATAGAGACAATAGGAGCTACAAACTGGAACCCTAATGCACAACCTAAGTGCACAGAATAGGATTATCCACGATATACGCGTAATGTGCTATGATCATATTGGCGTGTTTTAACTGGCTTGTTCTCTTTTCTCCACATAGTAGTTTATACTGAGTAAATATTCATATATTAGTAGCTATAATAAAGGCCAAAATAAAAAGTTTAAGTGATATCTGTGTCTGTAACAAACTAAAATCACCGCCATGTTCAATAGACGCCACGGTAAATGTCGCGATGGTCGCTGCATGTGTGTTTCTAGCGTTCAAGCGACTGACGCGTGCGCATCAATTCGCTTTGGACGCGCGACTGAAGCGACTGCCCAGTGTGTTTCAGCCTTTATACGTTACAAGTCCCGGGCTTGTGACCGGGTATAGCAGAGTTAAAAAGTGAAAGGTTTATCATAGATTAATCAACTGAATATTCCTGCTCATTTTTGTTTGGAAGCATGTTGTAACAATCTATGTTTAACATCGATATTAGATTCATTCTTTTCCAGTAAAAAGCGGGATGCTTTCACTGAAGGGCAATGATGTATTGTCTAACATTAACACCGGATTATGTTACTGATATTTAATATGGAATTCGAGCTTTGTCCATATGAACGGTTTAACATGCTTCCAAACAAAAATGAGCAGGAATATTCAGTTGATTAATCTATGATAAACCTTTAACCTTTTAACTCTGCTATACCGGTCACAAGCCCGGGACTTGTAGCCTATAAGGCTCTCTGCTTTTGAGTAGACTTGTCTGGTTTACAAGGAAGAGGAGTGAAAGGTTAATTTCTCAAATGTTGTTAGATAAGGTCGTTATTGTTTGTAGTTGTTGGTTATAGCGCTGTGCTATCATTCTTTTTGATTTAAAAAAAATAAAATGTTACGAGCATTAAATATTTGTTAGGTGTTACTTTGGACACTATAAAAACAAATAATCTGTCCATGTATGGCAGGATTTTCTCTAAAAGATCTCAAATCAAGCAAGTGAAAATGCCCCTCTTCGAACAATAGTGAAATGATTTTGAAGCCTCACTTAGGGCTTGTTTATATGAGCCTTGCTGGCCCACTTTACCAGGCTAGCCTGGCAGTTGCGAGATCTCGCATCGTTTAGTATTTACATATAATTTCAAATTTGATTCATATGAGAGGCAGGCTGGCCCGTAATGCCACGATATCGCTTAAGCGAGGCGGGATCTCATAATAAACGGGCTCATGTGAATGCACTAGGCGATCTATCCCAGCATGCCGTGTCGAATATCGCACTAGTGCGCATGCTCATTATATTCAGTTCGATGCAAAATACAGGGCAAGCCAAATAACAACTTTCGGTGAACCATAGCATAATGCATAACATTACTGAGTTTCTTCCAGCTTTCAAAAGTGACATGAAATATCGGGATTTGGACTTTTTTATGCTGCGTTCGTAATTAATAATTTCTGTACTTGCAGGGCCTTCCCGCTTCATATGAATCAAACAATAAACTGGCCGGCAAAAAGCGAGCCAGCCCGGCTCATATGAACAAGCCCTTATTGAGTGTGAGTCTTAACATTGAACTAACTTTGACAATCACAAATGATTATATCAATAGCCTATTGACGTCCAATAGGCTATTGACCAAAATTTCGTTTTGTAAACCATGTTCGATTATGATACTATATTCCCAATTTTCTGTTTTGGAACACCATTGGCGATGAACTTTAAGGGTGTTAATGAAAACAATAGCTTTTCTTCAGTTGGTCCTCAATGTTAGAATTTTAAGAACACACCGGAGAATTTACAGGTTAATATCGTTATACCGGACATATTTTTCTTCGGGCTACCGAATGAAAGCCCGAGTTTGAAATTTGAATTATCCTATGTTGTCGCGAGAATACATAAATCAGGCATGACTGATCCGAAGTCGTTGAACTAATCTAATTCCTTCTTGGATCATTTCACGCGCGAGTGTCACTTATGGCTCGTATTATTATGAAACATGATTTACATGAAACATGATGTATGTGTATTTTCATGATATTCATTGGTGAGAGAAAGGAATCTCTTTAAAAATACACTGACTGAAATTCAACAGTGACGAATATGGGCCACTTTCTTGATTACAAAAGAAGCATAATCTTTGAAATGGTATAAAACGTACGCATTTATGCGTAAAAAAGGAAAAGGATAAAGCTCATACGGGTAATAATACATTGTTTTTAAACATAATATGCCATGGCGGAGTAAAATACAGTTTGTTCTCTATATTACTGTCAAGAAGAGTACTAACACCCTTTAACAGCCTAAAATTGTAAGAAAAACGGAAAATTGATTTGGAGTTGCATAACCTATAACAATACTATATGCTTTTCTTAAAAATGTATGATGTTTGTTGTCCTGGTGCATCTTCTTGCAAAAATAGTCGTACTATGCTACTGCTGATTTATTTTATCTTCCCCAACAATTCATCAAGCTTCTGTTTATTCTCAACTTTTCATGTATACCTCAAAACTGTCATAGTCTGTATCTTGCGCCTCGGCCATGATCTGACATAGAAAATGAATTTCACATTAATCGTTCAGGACATTGCCAACATGGTGCTCATTTCATTGAGAAGCACCCTTTTACGTGAAATTTTTGACAACATGTAAACAAATTAAGATATTACCATTTTTTTTTTACTTCGTAGATCTTCCGAACTAAGCCCAGCTGCAAAAAAGAGTAAAAAATAAAGAAAATCAAAAAATTTTGTCTTAAAAAATTCTAAATATCCGTAATTCAAGTTCAAACATCGGAATAAATTATAAAGATCTATGAAATGGAACACGTAGAGAATGTACTCCATTGCATGTATAGGCAGTACATCATAGTTAACGAACGTACCATTATGTCATTATGTCAGGATTATTATGCGGGGTTTTATTTAATTTGAGAAGGCATTCTTATATGATTTTTTTCCTCAATAGAAGAATTTTCAAGATTTTTGGTACAAGGAACAACTTTTTTGGCGAGCAGCCTCCTAACCCCACCGTCAAATTTGTTGAGATGTCAATTTTTCGGGCATGTCAATTTGTCCATTTAATCTCGTGCAGTTAATTTTATGAAAATTTTGAATCCAAACCAGTGCAATTTATACTATAAAAGAGTGAATTGAAATGCACGTAAATTTAATCTAACGAAACTTATGCTATAAAAGTTTGGATTGTGAATCTAATCTATGGAAGGCCTGCAAATAATGGAAAACTGATTTTAGAAGGAGAAACGCTCAGAAAATGATTTGCGAATTCGTAAATCGTAGGAGCGAAGGCTTACAGTTACAGTATCCAAATTTTTCAATACTTGGTGTAAAAATCGACATTTTGTAAATATCGACAAATATCGATCATTGGTATCGGGTATCTTACAAACGAGGGTGATTTGGGAAGCTTGGCATAGTAATTTTCTAGTGATTGATAGTAGTACATAGTAAGTGATTGCAATCTAATATTTAGCGGTTTGATGTTATGATATATTGCAGAGACTGATATTTTAAAGCACCAAGTCAGTGTTAGCTACATCTTACACAGCATGCACTTGTTGGTATAAAAAAGATCTAGCGACTTGCCACAGGGACAGCGGAAGCAAGAAACAAAGCAGACAGGACTAGCTTAACTTGAATTTGCAATCTCAAAAAACTGCAATTATGATCTTCACATGGTATGTTGCCTCCAATAATTTCATCCGCTGAGTTAACCATGCGAATGACCTTTAATATGTTCTGACCGAATGACGTTCAAAAAAAGCCTGCATAGTCCAAAATATGTAAATAAAAATTAACTGACAAGTTCCTATGCACATAAAACTTGGAACAATTCTCTCCATTCCGAAAATAAGAAATGCTGCCTATGAAACTGCGCCTGAGAAAAAAAGTCAGTCCTATGCTTCAAGTGTTACGTTTCTGTATTCATTTGGTAAAGACTTCAAACTAAACTACACATCTGGTGTTCCACTGAAAATACGACTCTCAAATCTCGATCAATGCCAACCTAATACTACCGTCCTCTAGCTCTTTCGATGTAGCTTTACCAACATTGGAGAACAACGACACTTGTTCAGTGTTGGTAAATAATTTGTCAAAACTTACTAGCCGAAGGTTTGTCTCAGAACTTAGGTTTTTGAGTGGTTGTCACTACGACGAGTTAATTCCTGTACCGCAAACCCCCTGCCAATTCCCAACTCATGAACACTCATTTATTTACGGTGTGACGATTATTTTGTTTATCTTCGTGGGGGGTATAAAACTAAACAATAATGGCAGGCACAGTGACACACTCTTAATGTAAAATGTGCATTACAGAAATAGCCTTTTTTGATTTTTTTCAAACATCCAGTCAATTATTTGACGTCGTCATGATATTTAAAATATCTACGTACGACAGTGTTTATGTATGTCGAGGATAGTCACCGTCTGAACGACATAGTCGACATTAAAGAATCAAATGCACGCCTGAATTGAATTGAAACCGATTAAAGCGTCTGTTGATTAACAGCTGGGCAGCAGTCATGATTATAATAAAAAAATTTCACTTGGCAGAGAGTTTGAAAATTCTTGTATCTACCAGCAAGCAAAGTTCAGAAAGGTGATAATTTTTACGATAAAACATAAATCTCTGTTTCAGTGTTTTGTTTGCAAATGTGTGTGCAAGACTGCAAGTGTGTTTATCGTATGCTCATCTATGCTTAAGAATTACAAAATTTTCCACACCTCACAGCGCATGTAATGAAAAAAGACAATAAATGTAGTTTGGATGTGATAAGAAAATAAATAAATCCAAAGAAGAATATAAATATTATATATATATATTGTTATTGCTACTGGCTCATAAGTCATTGATTATTAGATAACTAGCTAACCCGGATTAAGAATTTTTAGTTTCTGGTGCGACATAACATTGTTGATATTCATTTTAAGTTGAGCTACACAGCTTTTACATGGACACAAAGGTACATGATCCATTTATTCCTCGATTTAGTCATATTTTTTATTCATGTTATAGGTAATACTATTCAATGTACACTGTGATTAGTTTACATAATGGGGGCTCTGGGATGGAGGTAGAAAATTAGAATGACCTGGGATTGTGTGAAACTAAAGCTGAACTAAATTGTTGGAAAAGCCTTTAAAGCAGTTTTGATGCTGGTCGCAGATGTTAAAATAAGAAAAGAAAAGTGATTCTTATCTAATGACAAGGATTCAAACATTGCATAAAATTACATAGCAAAGTGTATTTACTTCAGAATTCTTTTGCAGTCAAAGAATTTATGGCTAAAATGTAAAAATCACTAGTGCCACAATATTACCAAATGTAAAAATGTATTTGTGGTTAAAGCATTTTTAATTTCAATTTTATTTTTTTGCCTTTGAAATCCATTTTTTTAACTCAAAATTTTTAGAATAGGCTATTTTGATTTCTTAATTGCATTTTTCTCTCCCTCCAGGTGTTATGAAGATAAAGTATATACCTACGTATCCAATACCAGATCTACATAAACTCAGTGAACAAAGAGGGTGAGTCTATGTTTAAATCCACCTTCATCGACATTTATGACAAAATTTTGCACTTTGTGTAAAAGATAAACTCATAGACAACAGTATTCAGAATGTGACAAATCAAACAATGCTTCACATTGGTGAAGTTTAGCAAAATGCTTAAAATAAAAAGCCCAAAGTCCTCAGAAGGATAAGAAAATGCTGTAACCCAGACAAATAACATCAAACATTACCTCATATTAAAGATAAACATAACATGATGTAGTCATTGTTTTAAGCATTATTGATGCTTATTTGATTTTTCCAAATGATTATATAAACAAAGATATTCTGTGGTACTGATGTCATAAAGGTGAAGGGCAAAGTTGTATGATTAAATTGCTCCATGGGAAATTTAGGGGATCAGAGATTTCCCATTACGTGTGGTTTGTCCAGATACAATTCATGGTATACACAATTCACTGGCATTATAAGTTTTGCCTGAAATATTTTCATGCTTAGATTTCAGTGAATTACTTTAATTAATTTTCAATTCAGTCAATGAACAATTTCGAAGTTGTAAACAAGGCGAATGTGGATTGTAGGTGGCAATTACAAAAGGTGTTTGGCAATTAGCGGGTAAAGATAGGAATCTTCAAAACTTCTTCAAGTGAATAATTTCTTTTCATAACTTGTCCCCAGCTGTTAATCAATGGACTGACTAACAACTTTATCGTTATACAAAAGAATAACACCTGCTAATTTAATTATAACTCTTTTGGCCATTTTAAATCATGCTAAAAATCTCAGAATGTTGGCATCTAGCTCAGCGCCATACACGATTCACTAGACTTACATCTACACAAATATATTTACCTCATTAATGGATGGTTTTCGTTCAACGTTGAACGAATGGTCTAGAGCTGAGATAATGGCGCCATTAAAATTCCACTTTAACTAATAATCACCAAATCACTTTGTAACAAAGTACAAATACTTACCTGAAGTAATGTCCTTGGTGCAGTCTGTGAAATTACTGGGGATTCGCTAATTGTCTGAATTTTGTCAGCTGAACAACTCTTCTTTAACTTTCTTAAGTATGGCAATATGGCAAGCCAAATCGGACAAGTTTATCGAGTTTTACACGCAATGGTTGAGTTTTATATACTATAGTTCAAAAAAATATATGATACTCGAGAATAACACTATTTGGTAGTCGACATAAGTTAACAACGCCCGAGACCTGTAAGCGATATGAGATTTTATCAATGAACTCTACAACAACTAGAAGGCTAACTCAATATACACGTGCCAAGTCTTGTCTTAAGCCACTTACAACCTGATTTGCTGCCGCTTCGCGGGTATCTCGCGTGGACTGTTTTATTTGCGTGACGAATTGTTTTGCAAAAACTGCTAACTTGGAAATAGGCAACCCAGTCTCTTCCTTGAATTAACTCTATACGCTAATTGTGTAAATACCCTCAAATTGACTCTATAAGTAATTTGAAACGCCGTTCAAACAACAGGCCTGGTGACTTGCCTGCCTGGTCGCAACCACGCAACCCATCATTTACCGCAATCTACTATCCCGCGAAGTTTTGGATATCCTCAATCGTTTATTGTAAAGTGTATGCTCTTCTGATTGAATTTTTTTTTAAAATTCAATTTAAACTTTAATATTAAGTTGCGTGGTTCGCATTATTGCTGAAATGGAAGAAAACAATGGTAGTGGTAAGTAATTTTACACATTACACTTAAGTTATAAAATTACAAATACTGAAATACATAGGCCAAGCCAGTGGCTAATTTATGTATTGAAGGCTATGTTAGCTTTTAGGAGACCTATACTTTGCTTGCTTTTGAAAAGATAAACAAGAGTTCTTATCCATTCCTTCTTGGTCATAAATGCATCTTAATGAGCAAACATCAACTCTAGTACACTATTTTACAGATAGAAATTACTATACTAAACTAACAATAGCATGCACATATGAGTGATATGATTTAGCTTAGTTAGCTACACCCGACTGACAGAAACAGTCCACAAGTTAAGGTAACCTTGAATGAATATTGGTTGTATAAAACAAATAAGGTTCAAGATTACAATGTTTTAAATACTAAGTAACTTAAGTTTGTCAAAAAGACTTATATTTTGAAAAAGAAAGTTCTTTCAAGTTAACTTGAATAGCTGCCAGTATCATATTGCTGTGATCACCTGCAAAATACATGTCAATCTGATGTTGTACATATTTTTTCTTTGACAAGTTAAATTATAACAATTTACATATATAAGTGTGTACAAGACTTTCCATCTGGCAAGTTAAACTGTAAACTGTTTACCATCAAAAAGAAGGTTATTTTCATGTTCAATGTAAAAATTATATAGTTGGACTAAAACCTTTGGCATGGTTACCTTGCTGTTCCTCAGTATGTTTTTCTCGATATCACATGCTCATTTATTTGTAAAGTTTGTTAATTAGTAATTACAATATTTTAATTTTAAACCTTATTTTTATAGGTTTTGATGTACTAGAATTAGATGATACAGAATATGTTGATGTATCTTCCAAAAATTTGTAGGTTCATCAAATATTTATTGAAAATGAAATACTGAAGTGTTATAGCATCATAGAGTCATAATGATTGTGCCCAAAAGTGATATAGCAATCTCAATAGTTTGGGGAGCTGGTATTCATTTGAGTGCTTGTTTTGCCATGCTAAGTTCTTAAAATTATTGTTTCTTCTGGATTAAAAAATGCATTAATTTTTTACTTCATTGTTGGCCAAGGTTTCTTAGAGCTTAAATATATAGAAACACAAAACAGCTCAGCAATATAAATAGCTTGTGCACCAACTTTCATTGATGCTTTCAACATGCATAATTTTGCAGTGAGACTAAAAGTGGAATACTCAGCTAGTAAGTTGTGATCTTGCTCCATAAATTTTAGAGCATCATTATTTCATTATTATTTTAGAGCATCATTATTTCTATTGAGATCTATTGTTTTAACTGTAAATGAGAACATAGGAGTCAACACAACTGGACTTAAGACGTGGGTGAATACACCAGTGATTTTTATGTAAATTTTCTGTATGTATGCAACATATCCACTGTGTAAAGAATAGATTTCAAAAGAAATGGATATTGATAAGGTTTGAAATTTACATTGCAAGAGTAAAACTTGCAAGCTTATTATGCTATGCTACCTCTGCTAACATTTGATTTGATGGTTATCATGATAGTTATCAGTGCCATCCTGGACATTAATGAGGGGGTGCTGATTTATTCATACATTCACTTTTGCCCAAGTGGTTTCTTTGAAAGCAATTCATTTATAGAATTAAGCATTTTACTGTAAAAAAACATTCAGGCACAGCTGAACTTATGAATAGTACACATTCCAACCAATTTGCATTGTCAAGACAACTCTGATGATTGCAATTTTGGAAAATATCCATCTGTGAGTCTTTCTATTTGAAAATTAATCAGCATATTAATTTCACAAAAGAACAAAGTAAAACAGTATATGGTAGTTTCCTTGATGTTTGAACAATTCCATGCACAATTCACTTTTTCGTCTAAGGTGTGTATAAAAAAGGGGATTTGCAATTTGCAGTAGCATCAATATATATGTATGTATGTATTATTGTATTGACTTTCAGGTTTTTGAGAATCAGCTACTGCTGAATCATACAAATTCTAAGTGTCAGCTGATTATAAATAAGCAGTTTTTTTATACACCCTATATATACCCATTGCTTTCATTCAAATATGCATGAATCTAATTTTTTAAGTAAAGAACTGTTATTTAAGAATTATGTTAAAACTAAAGGAAATTGAAATGATGACCTGTTGTTGTAGTTAAGAAATTAAAAGCACTAACTTTGTTCAACAACTCAACAAGAAAACATAAATTAGTTAGTACAATGCAGGGAATACTGTTTATTAGGTTAATTTCTCAAATGTTGTTAGATAAGGTCGTTAATGTTTGTAGTTGTTGGTTATAGCGTTGTGCTATCATTCTTTTTGTATAATTAATGTTCTTGTGCTATTCTGCCCCCTCATCATTATCATGTAGCAAAAGTTTATCATGTATCAAACGTCTATGAAGCGTACACTGTGTATTAAAACTGTGTTTTGAATTGTTGCTTTTATTGTGTTTAAATTGTGTTTTCAATTGTATGCGTGTTGCTGAAACTGGGGATTAAAAATACACAGTTTTCTTGCACTTAAAGGTTACGTAAATAATGTGATTAGTTTCATGTTTGAAGATGTAGATCGTGCAGGTCAGTAGAGTTATGAGAAGGACTGTTTTGTTGTTGTTGACTGACGTTTCGACAACCTTAGAGGTTCATCTTCAGTCCTTCTAAGGTTGACTTTCAAGATGAAGACTGCTAAGGTTGTCGAAACGTAAGTCACAACAACAAAAACAGTCCTCAGGACTCTACTGACCTGGACGATCTACATCTGCAAACATGTAAAGATGCTCCCGGGTTCAAACCATTTACTTTATTACGATGATTAGTTTCCGTGGTAAAGGAATCACACGACTTGTTACCGCTTGTCTTGTATCTTCACGTCTGTAGTATTACTTTTGTATTATTCGTGTATAAATGCAATTTTGCTTCCTATGAAATACATCCAATTGCCTGAAAGGTTTGTACAGTAATTTTCTGAAAACTTTTTTACCTAATTGGTGGTGCACTTCTATGTTATAGAGGACTAGAATTTTTTTAGACAACTTCTCGAAAGAAAATATGTGGAAATTGCTCTACTGCGGTGGGCAACGCATGTAAGCGATGTTCCAACTGTGGACAGCTCATTCCAAAGAGGCCCTCTTCCGTCTCAATACCACAATATTCGACCACGACAAGACAGAAAATGCTGCTGATAAAAAGGGTTAGATATGTGTTCTTTAATGTATCTTACGGTATTGGAGCAGATGTTAAAATATCAATGTATAATTTCATTGGTTTCGGAATTGGACTTTTTTGTAGGCTCAGACTCTTCATCAGAACCACGGTTATCATCTGGTGGTAATGTATTATCACCCATCAACCACTAGAAGTCCAACCGTCTGGGATTATGCTGCAACTCGTGGTTTGGCGACAGATTATATTAGCAGCAGTGGTGTAATTGGAAAATCAGCCAGAAACTTGTTTCAAACTGGGATGAAGAAGTTATGGCAAGATAAAAATAAAGGTAGTCAATTTACAGATCTTTCATCTACAAATACTATCCCTGCCTCTACCTCCCCTTCCGTGTCGTTTTCTGTTTCCCTTCTACTTCAGCATATTCATCTGCTTTTGTAGCTCTGTTACAACCTCTCTTCCAGTTAGTAGCGCTGTTTCGACATTCATTCCTATACGCAAAGATCTTCATCTTAATACGATTTCTGCGACTTTCGAATCTCCTTTCCTCCCTGCTGCTACCAATACCAATACAAATGCCTTCACTGATACTTTTAGCACTAACACCACTCTGGCCTCTTCCAGTGGATGTACCTCCATCGGCAATTCTTCATCTGTTTCAACCTCTTCTTCCTCTTCTTCAAGCTCCTTCGTCGCTACAACATCTGTGTCAACCATATCTAAAACGATGGCTCCATCTGTCCCTACAGCAACTTTTAGCACTGGTCAGAAATAGTGTACATAGGTGTTAGCATTAGAATGATTTATTTTTTAGGTTCTTAGAAGTTATCAGGTTGTCGCAAAACAAGTTCGATCTTTTGTTGATTAATTTTGTCATCAACATTGAACACATTTGACAACAATAGACATGACCAAACACACATGACTACTTTCAGCTTTAAAATGTTAAAACTTGATTTGGTTCTATGGCAGCTACGTACATGCCGATGATGCGTAGCGATATTTCTTATGTCATAAATAGTGATTAACGAAGCAAATGGCAATGTCTTGAATTTAAATTGTTTCATGTATACTTAGGAACTGTTGTAGCATTGACCAACGAGAATGGTGTAGTGTGTGGTTTTGGATATGTCTCAGGAATGTCGAAGGTGCATAATCGGCCCGTGACTCCCGGCTACCTATCTGTCTTTTTTACTAGTGTGGTACCGGGCAAAACAGTTGCTCCACCATTGTCTGGTCCATTCGACGAAGATGTCGTTAGACCTGGCGAGTTTACATTTGGCCAATTGACGGAATGTTTGTTGCTGGACGAAATGATTTTACTCACAATATATAACTACGTAAATCTTCCGCATTTTTTTCTTTATGGATTTTATTATCTTCGTAAAGAAACTTCCTTGTATATGTATATTATAGTAAATTTTCTATTTTTGTGCCTGATCTTCGAGTGGAAATATTTTTGTTTGATATCATTGTATTATAAGAAGAACAGATTTTATATTATGTCCAAATAAAAACTTCAAAGTCGTGAAATAAGACATTTTTAACTACTTTGAACTTCACACTTTTTGTACTGCAGAGGATTTTCTTGTAAGTTATTTCTTAAAGTTTTCACACGGTATATCAATGAATGTTTTATAACAGTGGAATGAACATGAGCGGAAAGACTTTAGTTTCTTTTACTAAGATGTTTACAAAAACAAAGACATCGTGGAATTTTTATTCAATTCTTCATATGTTCTTTGAGTTAAATACTTTTTAAGTTTACGTTTATGCAGATGCTTATTTCATGTCCTTTAGAAATCAGCCAATAGTGAAATATTTAATGCCTAATGATACTGTTTTGCAGATTTCACTGTTACAATTTACGTTAAATTCAAGTGTTTTAAAGATCTTGCGTTGGCCAGCGCTTGCCCTCAAATTGCTTGCAATTAAGATAGCTTGCACAAAATCCTTCATAATTTGACTCAAGATAATTAAATTTTCCTTTCAATGAAAATTTTTCGTGCGCAAGGCCTGTTTTAAAGGACTTACCAGCAGATATTTCACTGCTATAACATTTTGCATTTTTGAAACTTTCCTTTCTAGCTGTACCCCTGTACCGCGCGCGTCTTGTTACGAAGAACTTTTTACCATAATATACTTTTTTGAAATACCATAAAGAAAGAAGACAAAGATCATGTGCAATGAAATAGCAAAGAAAAGGAGAAGAAAAGGAATATCGATTGATGGAGAACGGCTGGAAGAGGTTGAAGAGTACAAGTATTTGGGAAAACTGCTAACACCAGGAAATGAGATGGCGAGAGAAATAGATGAGAGAATAACATCAGCTTGGAAGAGATTTGGACAGTACAGCATGTTTATGAGAGATCAAAGAATGCCCATGTGTCTCAAAAGGAAGATCATGGACACTGTCATACTACCAGCAATGACTTATGGAGCAGAGACGTGGGCACTTACCAACCATCAAAGAGAGAAACTGGCAATCACCCAAAGGAGCATGGAAAGATCAATGCTCGGTGTCACGAGGAGAGATAAGATCCGGAATGAAGACCTGAGAGCAAGAACAAAAGTGAAGGATGTCATCGAGAAAGTTAATAAAGCCAAAGGAAAGTGGGCAGGACATCTAGCCCGAATGAAAAATCATGAATGGGCAAAGAAAAAAACTGAATGGACCCCGTGGGACAAGAAAAGAGGCAAGGGAAGACCAAAAAGGAGATGGAGAGATGACATCGAGCAGAGAGCGGACAGCATGTGGACCCAGAGAGCCCAAGACCGTGAAGAGTGGAGAAAGATGTGGAGGCCATCCGCCAGCAGTGGCGTGACAGGCTGATGATGATGATGATGATACTTTTTTGATACACTCTTACTATACACACGACATAAGCAATACACGTTATATAGGCTATGCACACTATACACACTATATACACTGTGTAGGACATACACATTATATAGGCTATGCACACTATACACACTACATACACTGTGTAGGACATACAGGTTATATAGGCTATGCACACTATACACAAAATATACACTATATAGGCTATACACTCTATATACACTATATAGGCTGTATACACTATATACACTATATAGGCTATACACACTATTTAATCTATATAGGCTATATACGCTATGTACACTATATATGCTATATACACTATTTACTATATATAGGCTATATGAACTATTTACGTTATATAGGCTATACACGCCATATACACTATATACACTATATACAAACTATATACATAAAAGATAAAAGTTTCTCCGGATTTTAAGTGATTTTTATTGAGCTTTTGACTCGTTGCTTCGAGCCTTCATCAGGATGGGGATATTTATTTACACGTGCTTTTAGCTTGGAGACGTTTAGAGCGTCTAATTGGATTAGTGGGTGGATTAATGTGACTGGATGGGGTGAAATGCGTTGCCATGGGTTTTGGTGTATTGTGAATATGATTGGTGTTAATAATATTAGAGTGTAGTGTTTTAGTTTTGGTGTTGTTTAGTAGTTTTATTGTCCTTTTTCTTTAGTTGTGAGTATATGATGGGTATGTCGATATGTCTGTTTATTGTGTCGTCGTCTTTACTAGACCAAGCTTCTTTAAATTCGCTTGCGTGTTTAGTCTGTGCGCGTCCTAGTACTTTAGTTTCTGTCCAGTCGAATGTGTGGTTGTTTCCGTGGGTATGTTCTGCCTGTAGTGAGTTCGGATCTCGTCGTTTTATGGCATTTTTGTGTTCTGTGAGTCTTGTTTCAATTTTCTTAGATGTTTGTCCTATGTATTGCTTTGAACAGTCTTTACATTGTATCATGTAGATCACGTCAGTTGTATCATGAATTGTTGATTTGTCTTTATGTTTAGTGAAGTATGATTTGAGTTTTTGTGTAGGTTTGTGGGCGACGTTAATATTAAATGGTCGAAGAAGTCTGGCAGTCATTTCTGATGTTCCGTTTATGTATGGTAATGTGACGATTTTTACTGTTTCGTCCGGTTTTTTGTTGCTTTTGTCGGTTTGTGTTTTGTTTCGTATTTTGTATATAGTTTTGTTTATGAAGTTTTAAACTATTTACACTATGTAGGCTAGGCACATACACACTATATTAAAAAAAACCCACTAAATACCCTGCATACACTATGTACACTATATACAATGCACAGGCTGTAAACAGTGAGTGTTTTCACCAACGTCACAATGACGTCACAATTTTTTACTGTCCGCTATTATATAGACGGAGTGTAACACAAAAGAAGAAATAATGGTAACATAAAAGTTATATTATAATGTATAGTAAAAATATTGTGTTTAATATACAGTTTATAACTTACATCAAACGACTTTTTTTGCATACGGCATTCCCGCATCATACCTTGACGTTCTATAAAGCAATTTGTGACGTATTGCTTGCCATTCATCTTAGAAAAATCGGTAAAGGCTGCTTTCATAAAGTTAAGTACCAATTGCCAAATTTATTAACCAAATTAAAAACAGAAATGTCTAAAATCTTGATGAAACAGTTTTCAATCACTTTTGCTAACAAACAACTTATTACAGATGCAAAAGGTGAATGGCTTCATTACATCCACGGTGTCTGAGATATAGATATGTACGTACTAACCACTTTCTTGAGAGCTATGTACTGGAATTGAACCAGTATACCAGCTAGTGGCTGGTAGCCATTCATAGCTTTTTTGGTTACATGAGTGAGAATGAGCGACTGTTAAATCAATAAATCTATCTCTGAGGAATCAGAAATCTAAATATCCAGGAAAAAGACAATTTGTGTTGCGAAAAAGGACAATTTGTAGAAGATCATAGATTGTTGCAAAATAGGCCGTTTGCACTGAACAACTACAAATGCGTGTATCTTCCTAGATGTATATACTTGCAAGTGTACGTGCATACATTTTATTTACAAAAAGAGGAACATGCAAATAATTTTCTATTTATAAAAGTGCACACAAAATAATGATAGCGCCGCTTTCAGCAACAAAATACTACGAATTATATGCATCTTCTTCTTCAACATCTTCATGAACATCATGTTCATCGATACAGTCTGATTCACTTTCACTACCATATACGTTGACTATGGACTGTTCTAAGTCGTGAAAGTATTGAGAATCTTTTTTCAACTGCACTCTAGCAAATGCAATTCCGCTGTTTGTGATGGCGAGACGACCATGCAGAGTCTTCATTGTGTCTTTTCGCACACAATAGCAATGTATATATTCATCTAGAAGAAAGCTGTATAAAACAAACATAATCATGTCAATAAGTATGTTCGTATTTTAAAAGATTGGTGTCATTTTCTCCACTTATCTGGCCTCTGTTTCAAGAAAGAATAGTCATTAGATTCATCAACATTAATTGTAAATACTAAAAAAATATATAAATACGTAATCTTTAAGCTTGTTTTAACTTATCCTATCTTTAATCTTTTCTTTTCTTTCACAAAGGAGAGGCAAAACGTTTTCCAAATAATAAATCATATAATTTTTCATCTCCATGTTCAGAAGTGCTTTTTCCTCTTCCAATCTTTTAACTACCATGTACGTATCGACAATTTGTGCCTTGAAACGCACAGGTATATCTAAATCTTGTAAAGTAAAATCGTTGAAACTAAAAGCGAGCATGGACGTCACAATATACATAGCACTGTAATTGCTTTTCTTTACCACACCATGTGAAGTCGTACTATCTATGTCACACTGGTTAAACGACCAAACAAAATCTCTACACATGACTTCTTCCGCACTTGTCGTAGGAAGACCACACAGATTTGAGAGGCAATTTAACTCTTCTACGGTGGATGCTATTTTGGACTTCTCTTCAGCGCATTTCCTTCTCATGGAAGATCTTCGTTTGCTAGAATCTACAGTACGTGCATGTATAATATACGTAACAACGACAAATCGCAATTTTACATTATAAAATCCTTTGACATATAAGTCTACATACTTCTACCAGGATGGCGTAGATAGTATTTACTCGTTTACTTTTAGATAAAGCACAATTTATCTCGAATAAAACTGTTCCATATTTTGCATTTTGTGTCGCCTACATCTAATATCTAACTCACTTTGATTTTACTACGAACTTTAAAATAATGTTTACAGTTACTCATAAAAAAACCCTCAACAAAACTGACCAGCAAGAGAAATTACTTCTTTTATGTGTCTAGTGACTGAAAAATACAACATTTTTAATACGACTTTCCTTGCTCAAGAAGCTGCTCCCCTCTCACATGTCCATCTAAAAGCTGTCTTTTCAATTCCAGCAATCTTGTTGCATTTTGTTCAAGTTGTTTCACTTTGTTTTGAGCGTCATGAACGAACGCCTATCACCCAATAATGTCGGCGTTTGATCATCGTTGGCTTTTACAAAATTCTCCAAATGTTGAGCATTTTCAACAGTTTGATGCAAAAGGAAGAACTCTTCGGCGGCACCTTTCAACGAAGAAACTCCAATTTGTTGTTCTAGACAAACAATAAAAAATATTAATTTATCTACGTAATTACTAAGCATTCCATACAATACTGTATAGCTATATATTTTCCGGGGGTAAAATGAATTGTTAAAAATAACAATTGCCAAACATAAAAATTTGAGCCAGGCCACGAATTATTTAATATAGTTTCGTTTTAAATGATGTTTGAACAAAAATCAACCATTAGTACAGAACTGTACAATACTAAACCATGTTTCTCAAAAATATTTGAAAGTAAACAATGTTACCTCACGCAAATTGTTGAACTTCTTTTTTCCACTGCATTATCGAGTCGTCCAAGTCTGAATCCTGGACATTAAGTTGGCTTCTTAACTTCACGAAATCGTCCCTGGCAGATAAAAGTTGCCTTTCGGTCTTCAAAATGGAAGTACACATTATGAAAAACAGTGGAAAAGAATTGTGTTAGCGCAATAAACATATTGGGTTGAAACAAGACCTATACACAACTATGAACTGTAAATTCATTTCATATTATACACGTACGTAGCACACATTAGAATCATGGACTCACACTAGTATAATTTTGACAATTAACTGAAGACATATACAACGTGTAACCTTTTTCATTCGAATGACAAGTGATATTGCCAAGTTTAAAATTTTTCGCTTGTTCCAACTCAGAAAATGTCCAATAATGCATTCTTCTTGTCCTTAATACGTACAACCATTGTGCACATTAGTTCGTGGACTTAATCGACCAAAAAATCTAAGCGTATATGCAGATCAGAAAATAATACTCACCGGAGGTCGTCATATTTTTAGTAGACGAGCCAAGTCTTGACAAATACGAATTTATTTGCTCAACTTCTTCGCCAACAGTTGCTGCCGCACCACTTTGCCATCTTCCGCTCCAAATAACCTAAAAGTGTGAAAGAATCATCCATTCAAGACAAACCATTTCAGATTTACGTAACCACGGTTTAGTTACGTGAAATACAGTATTATTACTTTGTCTCATAACATCTTTAATAGAGCATTATCGTCGGCGTATGTGGTATTTAGCTTACGAGTTATTGGGTAAACAATCATAACCTACGTATGTAACGTACCTGATATGTCCAACTGTGTGATTTCCCATGCATTATAGACAGTGCTGGTGCAATATTTCTCAAAGCATTTTGATTTTCTTCCGATGTAACACGTAGAGCCCAAGGCCAATATTTGCATATAATATCTTCCCACATATATTTAACTTTATGTGGTTGTAAAAAATTCATATGCAAGTAGTGAGCATAGCCATAAATTTCTCCTCTGAACATGTTCAAAGTAGCTTGAGCAATCGAGTGCCTGCATCCAGCAACTTCAAGTCCAGTCTCGTCTTGTTTTTCTTTGATTTGGAGACCATTTTGCAGCCTCCAAATGGGTGTCACCACAAGAATTATCTTCATTCTATAAAAATGCTTTAACCTAATAATAGATTACTACCTTTCAATCCTACTTCATAACACATTACCTGAATTGACTTTGAACCAAGACTTTTAAATGAGAGTCCACAAAACTGTTGTTTGCAATCAATACATCACGATAATAACACTGTTCCCCTGTGGTAAAAGTAAGTTATCAATTTAGAACACAAGCCCTCATAAACTCAACAATGCAGGTAAAGAATCAAACATGAGCAGTAGGTCTTTTTCTTGGATTTGTTGAAATTGGTTCAAATTATTAAAACATAAAAATATCTGAATCGTTTAGAAAGGGTAATTCCATTTTTGTAAGTTTGAGAATTCGCCGTGCAATATCACAAACCTTGGTACTTTGCTGAATCTGTACACTTTTTGATTTCCATCAACATGACATGAATGTTGATCAATGCTACAAGGAGGGCAATTTTTCCATGTCTGCTCATGAAGAAGGTCAATTTCATGTTAGCAATAGCTCCATTCAGCAAACAATTTTCTGAATGTGACTGGATTGATAACATTTTCCTAGTGAGACCAGTTCCACATCAAAACATAGCACAATTATATACTATTTGTTGATTATGCAAAACCCAACTGTACTATAATATAGTTTTCATACTTCAAACATACACATTAGACGAAGCATACAAAAATTGACATGTGCTTGTTACAAATTTTAAACAAATTTTCCTTGAATTTCCAGAATTTACTAAAATTCACAGAAAGAAATGATCATAAAGGATTATTTTGAAACCAAGATTTACGTCTTGTAGTTTTTGGTTTGTGAGGGAAAAAATATATACAAAATAAAAAGCACACTAACAAAGACATGTAGATAGCATAAAAAATAATCACCCTTCCTCTAGAGCTGGAAATATCTTCCAAACTTCTTACAAAAGCAGATTGTGATGACCTAGGCATCCTCTTTCTAAATGCATCCCACAAATTAAAGACATCTTGACTTAATATGTAATGAACATTTTCAGGGCTACCAGGCCACCAGCCACTCTCAATTATACTGTCAACAGAAATTGGTGACCACTTCCATTGAAAAGATGAGCAATGTACAGTGAACCAATTAAGACCAAATCGTCCTGTTAAAAAAATATAATCAAAGATAACCAGTACAGCTGAAAATATGCGCTTCGAAGAAATCAAATCCTGGGGTTTCATAAGAAGCCAGCAACTTCATTGATGATTTGAAGTTTTCAGTTTCAATTTAAAGTTTATGAATTAGTGTACAATCCAACCTGCTGCCTATGTATTTTTCTCAATAATCAGCCCCTAACAAATCAGATTTTAATAAGATGCATCATATGTACATCCATATAACAAAAAATGTTATTTGGACTCAGTAAATAAATTGCATATGGACATTTTCACCTTCACAAGTGATCATAATGATAAGAGAACTGTTGGTAATTTTCATAATGGATTCATTACACAACTGACATGATGATGGGTAAAGGATGGGACATGATCGATCTACAAAGATAACAGCATCATCACAGAAAAATATTTCTCTCACATAGGGCACAAAAAAACAACAACAAATATTTGTATAAAATTCAATAGTATGTACATTATACTTACCAATGCTGCAAATCTTTCCATCAGATGAAATGGATTGTGTTGGCTTGATATATTAAAAATAACCATCCAACCACACTTCTCGATCATGGAGAGGATTGTTCTCATGGACATCATTATCGCATTCTCTACAAATATATCTCAACACACCACATTGTCTACATCTCAGTACAGCTTCATTTTCATTGCATCTACAACAATTCATAGCAGATAAAGGAGGAGCAAATGATGACACAGTGACATTAAACAATTTTTCCCTCATACTTTCCCATTTTTCTTCTCGATTTTCCATTTTTTTTGCCAGGCAGATGGCCCAGTATCCACTTCTCCAATAACCAACTGAGAGCTTTCAAGAATAGCTTCAAGATCTAAAATGAAAATGAAATGATTTTATGACATAAAGCTGTTTCCTTTTCTATTTTTTTTTTAAATACGATACAAGAGTACATTGAAGTGTTAAAAGCACAGTCACATGTGTATAAAATATAAAAAACTATGTATAGATGCAGTGGTCTGGACAGCACAAACGTTTTGCTTCTTTTATGTAAAGTTGAGATGTAAGAAGTATTATCAACAACCTCTTTCAGCAACACTGTCATCACATATCATTCCTGTGGAACATCATGTAAATCTGACGATGTTGTAGGCATTTCCTCATCTATGATAATAATAACAACAAGTAACATAAAAACGTAGCATACAAGTTAAACAAAAATCTAAAATGCTGCTATTTCTTTGATAAAAGTATTATTTCTACAGCACACACCTCTTTGTGTATTTCTACTTCTCGAAGTGCTTTGCTTGGCTTATGAATAATCCGTTCGCCACCTTCGCTTCTTTGAAGAACTATATCTCTTCTGGCATTTTTCTTCTTAATAATTTTATTTCTACCACGAACACCTTGATTTGTAATAGCATTAACATTGCTTATTGCAGACAGCAGCTGCTCATCAATCGTTGGTTTACTCGGCCTACTGCGTTTATGAGACATGTGTTTGCATAAATAAGAGGTAAAACTCCGATGTGTTTAATATTTCATACAAAATACTGATACAGCCATACAGGGTAATGTAGAATATCTTCGCTCCATAACAAAACAAAATGGCGCGTGCTAAGTTTTTGGTTTTTAATTTCGGCAACTGGCAAAGGAGCCACTCATGTCACCAGGCCTGTTGTTTGAATGGACGTTTCAAATTGACTTATAGAGTCAATTTGAGGGTATTTTTACAATTAGCGTATAGAGTTAATTTAAGGAAGAGACTGGGTTGTGTATTGTATGTACTCGTAAGTACTCGTGTGTTGTTTTAGTCACGATCATCTCCCACTAATTTATCACGATATTGAGTTTTGTTTGAGATTATACACACAATTTTTTTATAACGTAAACAAGACCATTGCACATAATTTAATTGGAAGTTAAGTAATCTGGAGCAAAATGTAAGTGAATTTCAGTTGAGCTTCAATGTAGATTATAATTATCTGTTTCTATTCAATGTTAGCTACATTGCCACGACATCTATATTATAGGTATATGAATGAGACATGCAAGGCGTTCAGAAAATTTAACATGCATTTTCTGCACGATTGGTATGAACAATTTAAAAAATGTCCATCCCTAACATAATATTTCTGAATTGATGAAAAGAATATTGTTAAGATGCATTTTAAGATGCAAACTTTATTGTGTTTTGCATGCTTCCGTGCACGAGAATTTCACATAAAATATATGAACTTATATATCAAGAAAATGGCATTAGCTACAAATAGACAATCAGGTGGAAAGCTAATCGCATATTGACCATTCCTAAATTTACTATTAAATTCTAGAGGCAGTTTGATGTTGCTTATTGCTATATAATAGTAACTATAAACAAATACATCGAAATCTTCATAAATTTTTTGAAGGTTTACTTATAATAAAGAGTTAATTCCTAATGTGCAGCATGCATATAATAATCTTATATAATAGACATGTTTTCTTTATTTTGGTAGTGTTAAACTATTTACCACATGATCAAGATGTTTGATTTGTGGCCATTCACTTTTGCTCACGCAAATGAATTGCGTTAAAAGCGACTCTACACACGAAGTCGAGTTGTCAGAAGTCTTTTTTTCTGCAACTGATTTGCACATATTACCAAGGAAACTATCTATCACATAGCTTGAAAATTATGTCTGGCTGTATTTGCTACGGGGGCGTATGACTCAAAACAATTTCTCTTATATTTCTCGCACGCAATAAATATACTTCTCTACTCTTGTAAAAAAATAAAGGCAATGTAGATTATAATTTTTTGTGTTTCCTGTTTGGTCAGTTGAATAAGTTTTTTTTTGTACTGAAGATTTCGAAAGATGACAAACCCTTTAAACGAAAGAATAATTGAAAAGCCTGTGGTGATAATAATTGCAAACAATTTTATTAATTTTTATAATCAATCTAAAAAATGAATATGTTGGAATTTGCATAAATTTTTCATGTAGCTATTATTTTCATTGTCTCACTCACTATTGTGAATTTGTGAAGGAGTTATGTATATCTTGCACCCTAAACTAAATTTTCATTTTTAGTCTAACTGCCTTTAGGAAAACATGTCGTTGATGGTCACTTTCATGGTGCTTACTTAAAGGTATGAATTTGAACATACAAAACCTAAATATAGCTTTCAAATAAAAGCATTTTAAAAAAGTGCTTCGGTATCAATTTACAATTTGTGTTAAAATTCTTGAAGAATTTTCGCTGTTCTATAGTTGTTGCGGATTAAAAATAATGTCAGTTATCGAAAAATTTTACTGATATTAATGCTTTATTTTACTGTTGCTACATTTCTTTCACAATCATACGACCTTTTTAGTTTTTGTTCACATTTTTCTCACAAAGCCGTATGTATATATATGTATACATAGGATAATGATAAGGATTCTCTGAATCCTTATCATTATCATAATATGCCTGGGTTACCAATTTTCAAATATATATACATATATATATATATGTGTCATATATAATGGGATTTTGTGATAGAAACTATCGCAAACAAAATCGCACGGATAGAGTGCTCAATGCCACGGCAGAGCGGTATAATTGAAAATAAAATAAACCACGAATAGACCATATGCCTTATTCATATTTAATGAAAATGCGCGCTGTGCATTCTGGTCTTAGTAGTCACGCTTCTACGGTAAACATCAACATGGCCACTGCGGATAGTGAGTGTGTAGCTGTTCTTTGTCGTCTTTCAGAGGTAACTCAAACAAATGAAAACCCTAGTTCTTTTCAGAACTCTTGCACAGGTATTCAGGAGTTTGTTACATCTGAAGCTTATGGCAAGGAAATCCCAGAAACGTCGACGAAGGCAAAGATAGTTGGTGTAAATTCTAATACCGTTGCAAGTCCAGATGAAGAACTCGCGACATTTGGTCGCTTAGATTGGACAAAGTCTTTGGCTAATCTTCCATCTTTTACGCACGAGAAGCTTGAGCATAAGCTAGTTGAAAATAGAAGAGGAAAATCCGATAATTATGCGCCTAACGCTTTTAGAAATATGAAGAAAGGTTACGGTCTCTGGCGAGAAGGATATGTAAAGAATACAATGGTAAAAGCAAATGTTCCTACTTCAAATGGGGAGGTTGTATTTGTTGTAAAGGCGCGTGTTGGTGCATCTATGAAAAGTGTGAGCTACTCTGTATTTGTTCATTTAAATCAGAGAACTGCTGAAGTGGAGTATAGTATTTGTAATTGTAAGCAGGACAAGGTGGATGCTGCAAACATGTCGCAGAGTTACTTTACAGTGTTAGACTTTGTGAACCTTAAGCTTTCTGCTGTTCCTGCCGAACTTAAGTGTACTCAGCTACCTCAAAAATGGAATGTACCATCTGGCAATTCTAAAACTCTTGAGAAAGCTGTAAAATTTGAACACTTGCTTTTTGAAAAGGCTGATGTAAATAAAACCAATGAACAACATTCTGTAAGAGGTGTTAGAGAGAACTACTGCTTGACCCCACCATATGCACACGAACTTACCAAAGAAGACATCAAAATAATGGCAGATGCCTTCAAAAAGTTAATAGGGCATCATTGTTATGCGAATTATTTAAATCAAATGAATATCAGCCCTGTAATACTTTTGAGACTTCTTGCAATCGAATGATAAAGGAAAAGTTATAAATCAAAGAAAAACTATACACCCAACATTACATCCAATTGTTGTTTAGAATAGCCCAAAGGAGGACTATAATCTGTAGCCACATTCTTAACAACCTTGTTTATAATACACGAAGATGGATCTTCAGGCAAAGACTCCACCAGCTTTCTCCTCTTTATCATTCGATTAGGTAAAAGCGTTAGGCGCATAATTATCGGATTTTCCTCTTCTACTTTCAACTAGCTTATGCTCAAGCTTCTCGTGCGTAAAAGATGGAAGATTAGCCAAAGACTTTGTCCAATCTAAGCGACCAAATGTCGCGAGTTCTTCATCTGGACTTGCAACGGTATTAGAATTTACACCAACTATCTTTGCCTTCGTCGACGTTTCTGGGATTTCCTTGCCATAAGCTTCAGATGTAACAAACTCCTGAATACCTGTGCAAGAGTTCTGAAAAGAACTAGGGTTTTCATTTGTTTGAGTTACCTCTGAAAGACGACAAAGAACAGCTACACACTCACTATCCGCAGTGGCCATGTTGATGTTTACCGTAGTAGCGTGACTACTAAGACCAGAATGCACAGCGCGCATTTTCATTAAATATGAATAAGGCATATGGTCTATTACTTCATCGAAATTTAACTTGCCACACTCGTCAGGAGAATAAATATAGCACTATAGCACAACGGAACTTATACACAAAGATGATTAATTAAGTGTTTAGGTGATATAGTATTACATTAATGACGTAGTAAGTGTTTATTACGATGGCGGCATGCGGAAATGAGTCATATATATGTCATATATATATATAGGAAGTTTATAAGTGATGACTCTCGGTTTAAAACAGTGCTCGATGCCCGAGAGCAGAGCGTAAACATATGTAGCGATGTTGAAAAAAATCGCGAAAACTACAGATTTATCCCGACAACCTGTTTCGTGATTTCTTACTCTTCAGGGGACACTAGTGCTGTTTTATGGTTTCTGTGTATGATGATGTTCCATGAGATGTCGTGGTCAATGTTGCCGTCTTTAAGGGTCCAAATGTGCTTACTGAGTTCGGTCGAGTTTTGTGGTTTGTTTTGTGGCGGAAAGAGGCAGTGTGATTTCAATGTCTAGTTTTAAATTCATGTTAGTAAGTCCAAGGTACGTCTCAGTTGTGTTATTGTCCTTGCGTTTAACAATAGCTTGGTAGACGACGGATGATTGTAGGCAGTTTCCGTTATATGGGCAGTTTTGTTTTTAAAGTAAATGGTTTGGACCCGGGAGTATCGTTACATGTTTGTAAATGTAGATCGCCTAAGTTGGTATAGTCCTGAGAAGGATTGTTTTTGTTGTTGTTGACTGACGTTTTGACAACCTTAGCGAAAGTCATCTTCAGAGTCATTTTGACAGTCCTTCTCAGGACTATACCAACCTGGACGATCTACATTTACAAACATGTAACGATACTTCCGAGTTCAAACCATTTACTTTATTACGATCATTTGTACGACAGAGCGAAAATACACTCATATTGCATTATTTTTTTGTCTTTTCTTGTGAAGCCGCTTTAGATATTTATTTCAATGCTATGTTAAGGTACCATATTTTAGCTGTTACAAAGATCTTAATGATGTATAGCAACTCGTAATCTTCGTCACGAAATGCTTGACTGTGTGTAGATTTTCACTCAATAGCATTATGCTCTGATGATTTTATTCAATTCTAACAAAAATTTGCTTCTTTTTTTTTAGTTATAACAACACAAGAGGATCAGACACTATTTTTCAGGTAAAGTTTACAACTATACTTGAAACTACTTCTATTTTAACTCATCATTAAAAGATTTATGAATTGAAACATTGTTAATTCTTGAACGCGGAACATCACGTCTATTATTGATCGTACTCGAAATTTTTTATGGTTTGTAGAATGCGGCTGGAACCATTCACAAAATGGATTTTTTTTGTTATTTTCTTTATCTTATGTGGTAAGTGGTTGTTTTATATTTCATTTTCAAGAAATTGTAATAAATTTTATGTGTCCAGATAGCGAGTTTTTCATAGACAAGGAAATTCAGCGAATCTAAGCAGAAGAAAAATTTATGTCACAAACTTTGATATTTTTTCTTCACTTTAGTAAATTCAAATCATAAACAAAAGTTTTTTTTAATGACTATTTCTCTAGAGATAATTTCCTTGTTCAATCAAGTAAAATTTTCTGGTAATGCAAAGAATTGTCTTCGTGAGACATGACATAAACAGACATTTCATTTTTTGTGCCAACTATGAAAACGAATTGAATCAGGAACAATTTATGTATTGATGTCATCATTGCATTGCAAAAATAAAATAAGTTTGCATCTATAATAACTATAATCAACATCTGAAACAATTATTTCTTTATAAAAAATGATGCAATGCTATAAAATTAAATGTTTGTAGTGCATCTTTGTACTGTTTATCCATGTGCTACATATTTTCAATTTTGATATCAGTAGTGAATTAATTGCAAGTGAATCTCCAAAATTGACCTAAGGAATTGAATCTGAAACTGAAAAAGTTGTCCAGTCTGTTTTTTTAGTAGGGTAAAAATGCGCAGAGCCTTTTTTAGAAATTAGTTTGCAAGCGACTCTCGTTGCTTCTTTAAATTTAATTATATTCAATTTTATTTACACTCCTCATATTGGCCATTTGAAATTGAGAAATGAATATATTTTTGAGTAACGCAATTAGCTTACCAAGATGGAATGTAACGGGTCAAGTTGTTTTCGACGTTGCATAGAGCTATAAATTATACGCCTAATATAATTTTCGCTGGAACAGATCTCCATATATATACATACATGTGTTTTTTTTGTTTCTGGAAGTAAACCTACCAGATATAAAATTTTTTTTGGGATCAACACAACGTTTCAAAGGTAAACGAATGTCAATTATCTAACTTAAAAATTAAGTAGCAGTTCGTTCTCTAGTCTGAAAAGCTTTATGAATAAATGTTTAGTGCATGTCTAAAAATGCGTGTACACATGAGATTGAACAAAGTTCTCGTATTTTGATCATTTCGTTTTCCTAACTGACTGAAAACGTTATTAAAATTATCTTTAAAGAATCATAATATGATGGTTTCGTTAACTATAGCACCTTATTTGACATAGGGAAAAATTTATAACTTGAAACAGATTTTCATACGATTTTTCGAGTCGCGAATTCTGAAGCCATTGCATGCAACTTTCCAAATATAGCAATAACGACTCATATGATGTTAGTGTCCGTCTGACAAATTGTTGTGTGTAAACGTACCTTAACTCTAATTAGATATTTTGTTGTGGATTCAGCTTTTTCAGCACCATTACTCTCTGATAAATATCAGGTTGTTGGTAACAATCGTTTGGTCAATGAGTTCATTTTCTTGTGATGTTTGTCTGTGAGTGACTTGGTCTTAATGAGAACGAACTTTGCAGTCCTCTACTTGCACAGTATATTGCTCTTTAACTGTTTTTCCTTACAGAGATTGAGCAAAAAAAGATTCTTGTTTTAAGAGTAAAAAACGGGCTTTCTTTGTTCTATAGATAACTTACCTCTAGCAATAAACCTTTAGATTGTCCCTAACTCTAATACATCTCCATTAATGTCGCAAAGCCATTTTTGATAAGCATTGCAAAAATATTATTCATTGTTCTTTTTTGTTACCTCCTATAAATGTGAATATTTTTCCTATTAATAAATTGCCCTTAGTGTCTATACCTTAATATCTCTATCCTTATGATATCAGTTTCCTTATTATTTATTCTAGATTTAAACTTTCCTGGATGAGTGACTTATGAGCAGTGCCAATTTACTTTGAACAGATGTTTATGCGTTACATAAGATTTAAGGGACAAAAAGTGTTGCGTAATTGCCAGACTTATTAGCACTTACTGCAGTATACTCTTATCAGTATGACTGCGTTTAAAGAAGATTATAACATAAATCATTCACAATCCTATTTTTTCCTTTTTCAACTTCTTAGTCAATTTGCAAATGCACTTTTGATACCGACACTATTATAAAAGTAGGCAATAATGCAAGCTTGAAGAAAGTTTACATTAATGACATTTTATCTCTCAAGTAATTCGATTTCAAGGCTTAAATACTTCTGACAAAAATCTTTTCCAAATACAACTTTATTTATGACTAATTTTTTCTGTAATCAACCACTCTTTTTGACAAAATTAGTGACGTAATTAATTTCATTTTGAAGACAAGGGTGATTTTTTAAATAAACGTCATGTTGCTGCTAACAGAAATGTAACGTAAAAACAAAATTTTTTACCTTCAAACCAGATGAACTACTGAATTTTGACCTTAAAATGTTGATTATTGACTTTTGATGCCTTTCAATTTGTTGTACCGCACAAACGTTTTTCAAACACCTGTTTTAAATACTCTTATGCAATTTTTGGCTTTAAATAGAAGAAGATTTACATTAATTGGTCGAGTAATTGATGCTTTTTCTTGTACAATATAATATTATTATCATTAGGTGCACAGTGCAGTTAATATTAATATACAACCACGTGCACAACAATGAGTTACCCTTACGAAAAATATCAATAGGAATTCCTATTAATACTTTCTACAGGATCCTATTAGACATTGGCCCATGAGCAACAATGAGTTAGTTTCTCTGAAGATAAACAGATACCTATTTTGAAAAATACTATTCATGATTTTTTTGGTAAAGTATAAAATATTTACTTGGATGTAAAACAATTTACGGCATTACGTACTTAAAATTGCACTGACCCATTTTTCTCCAACTCACATGATATTTAATATTATATTTCAAGATAAGTATACCAAATTAATAAAATGACTGAGCATCCTAGTTTTTCAATTACTGACTAAGTTTTATTACAAATTTATTGACAGAGTAAAATGTTTGTTAACTAACTTTAATAGAAATCTGATAAAATTTGACAGGTACTTCTTCTCAAATGAGCTCCTGTGGCAAGCGCAAGATTCTCGCTGGATCTCAGTCTCCACAGTCTCTCATTGTAGGAGGAACAGAGGCTAGACCAAACTCTTGGCCATGGATAGTTAGTTTGACTCGAGGAGGCTCTATTCATTGTGCAGGATCAATTATTGACAAATATTGGATTTTGACAGCAGCTCATTGTCTTGTACAATCAACAATACCTGCAAATTTTTTCACCGGAATTACAATAAATGTTGCAGATCATAGAACAGACACAACTAGTGTTTATGAATACTCTTTGACGTCAGTTGCCATGTATATTCATCCTAAATATTACTTAAACGGACCTGTATATTTTTTGGACTATGACGTTGCTTTGATGAAACTCCCGACTCCTTTGAACTTTACCGAGCGTGTGCTGCCTGTTTGTCTTCCTAGTCGAGATGATATTTTTAACGAAAACGATACATGTTTTGTGATTGGCTGGGGACGTACTGCATCTGGCTCCACTTCTCCATACTTACAACAGGTAAAACTTGATATTATTAGTCTTCAAGAATGCAATAGTTTTAGCTCTTTTAACGGGAGAGTCTCACCAAGGTCAGTCTGTGGTGGTCGTAGATCAGGTGGAGTCAGTGCATGTAATGGTGATAGTGGTGGTCCCTATCAATGTAAACGCAACAATACTTGGATACAATTAGGGATAGTCTCTTGGGGGGCAGGATTGTGTGAGCAAGCTAGACATTACAGCGTGTTTATGGATGTCAGAAAATTCTTGGAGCCATTTATTGAAACAATTCAAAGAGGTAAAAACAAACTTTCTTTTATTCATTATTTCTATTCAAAAATTTTTTTTCTACAATCTGCAGTAACGAAATATGATGGATTTTAATGTAGACAACAAATGAACATATCGCTTATACGATGGAAAAATTTTTACAGCTCCAAATTCTTTATTAATGTAGTGCAAATTTCAGTAAAAAGATACATGCACAGAGTAGATTATCGCATAATTATCAGCAAAACTTCAAGTGATATCACTGATATACAGAAAAGTATTCTACAAATTGCTTTAGTGTCAAAGATTGATTACATTTTCCTAATGTTTCTAACTTTGAGGAAAGATAGACAGAGCTTTTATACAAGCTGTTGAATTTCTCACCAAAAAATTTTTTCACTTTTGATTTTGTTTTTTTTAAGTTATTTAACACAAGAATATTTGAATTGTTTTTGTAAAGAGAAAGAAATTTACAATGTTAATTATTCAAGTAGTAATTAATTTGTAATGTAAATTCAATAAATGAGGTAATATAATTAGCAAGAATTTCTTTTGTAGGTCAGAACATTAATCTAACCATGTACTACTTAAGAGCAATTGGAGTTGTGTTTCAAAACTTATCGGAACTATATTCCTCGAATCTTTCGGTTATTTTAACGAATAATGGAGAATTTTCTGATATCGACATGGTTGGATATTTTCGAGCACTTCCTTATCAGATTGAGCTTGTAAAGAAAACAACATTAATTGATCTTATTACTGTTTCCGGACAGCAAAAATTAACTTCAAATACGACGACAATACAACATATTGCTTCTGTTTTTTTCCGGTATATAAGTAGCCTGTATGCTGATTTTAAATGTGGAAGATCGGGCAGACGTACTTGTAAGTATAAACATGGTAAATAATGCTTTTAAAATACTAATACGACATAATTTTTTATGAATACTTATATAATTGCATTATTTCTTACCATTCGCCAACGCTAATTTTTCTAGTATAAACCAGTTATATACATGTTCAACTAACGTTAGCATTAGTTTAATTATAGTATTTGTTAGTTATTAGGTATTACTTCACAGGAAGTTATCTAATTATGCACAAGCCGATCGAGCGTTTAGGTAATACGGTGCCGGTGTTTTTTTGTAACTGCCGTATATGAATGATAATGATAATTAAAATTGGGATTTACTCGTCGTGAACGGGAAAGGAAGAGATAAGTTAAAATTATAAAACAGTGCAGCAAGCCTTCAAAACATTAATGACATCTTTAAATGATCCGCATTGGTTGTGATGGAGCAAGCAAATGTTTCCTCCTTGCTTAAATCAGAATATAACCACTGCTAAGATTGTCGAAACGTTAGTCAACATCAACACCAACAATCTTCTCAGGACTCTACTACTTGAATGATATATTCCTACTAACATATAAGGACGTTTCCTGTTTCAAACAATTAATTTTGTACACACCTTGCTCATATTAACTTCTTAATTAAAAACAGAATTAATTGACTTGTAAAGAGTTTCCTCTAACGCTTTTATTTTTTGTTTT